ACTAAATCATAGACCTTGACCTATATACTTCTTTTAAAATATGTAGGTGTATGCGTTCATACAATCTATAACTTCTAAATAGTTACCTAGGAGAGTAGCTACTGGGGTATGTCGGGACCTCTATAATTTGTAGGTACATCGTTGATATTGACACAGAATAATATAATAATATCGAGAAATATATTGATACAGTGTGACCAGCACGAAAGACATGTGCATTTAAAAAAAAGGAATATTAACAACTTATTACGACTTGACTTATACCTACTCAATACCTGTGCAATTACAAATTTCACCACACTAAGTGGCTCAGTCCAACTTTTACAACTATTAGTTTTCATTTTCGTTCTGCTACAACATTGGACATGATAATATATACAATACGATTTATGAACACACAGTATCAAATGGCGATATTATAAGATTGCTGTACCCTGTATGATACATAATATTATGTATTCTGTATAGGTAACCCGCGTACCTATACAAACAAAATGTCGATTTGTGATATTAATTATTACACAGAGAGGGTTCTTAATTTCCTATACATATAACATCATGCATTCATGCGGTCCCATGACCGTATTGTTGGTTTAGGTCGTCCACGTAGGTTTTGCGTAATGACTGCATCGCAAAAGGTCGAGGTTTTTTGTTTTTCTGAACAATTGTAAATTTAATTCATACAAATAACGGTCGGGCGTGTACCTCTAAACGCCAAGTCCTCTGATCGTGTTACAAAACGCGATTGTTCGTTTTTTCCACAATAATCTGTCCAATACAATATTCTAATCGACCAGGGTACCTAAATATATATTTTTTTATCATTTTATGTAATATATATATACCTATGGGATAGGATCATTGGATTGGCGGATGTATAATTAGTGGTTTTTTTATTTAACTTCTTTTTTTTCTCATCGATCGATTGTAAAAAAAACTGCTTCATTGTTATTCACGTCACTCAACTGCACAACGCATACCGTCCTGTGGTATAACTAAGTCCTTACTCCTTAGTCGATCTAGCCCGACACGCTAATGCCATGGCACGATTCTCGATTGATTATTGCAACGGTGCTGCGGTATGGAAACCGTAAAAAGTTACCCAAAGTTATTTATTGTTTTATCGTGAAAAAACTTTCGTTTCCCACGTAAAGGTATAGACGTATCACGTATGGCTAAAATACACGTCTCCAACAAACATTTTTTTTATCTTAAACTAATTTCCAGCCAAATGGTAGTTTATTCCTTAGAGTTCCTATCGATTTTCTAATATATTCTTATTAACTATATTATTCGCTTTTCAATGGCATAGGGCATGAGTGTATAAATTTGTTTTCTGCGTTTTCACGTGCCAACATAAAATTGGCCATTATAAAAATATGTATAAGCAAAATGCCTTTTACCAAGAATTCAAGTGACACCGAGATGGCGAGATGATTGTAGTCTTTTAAGTTGGTTTTTTTTAATTTCCGTTCATATACGCTATATACGTGCCTATATATAATACCTAACCTTTCAAAAAGCTAATAAGGTTTTTTACATCTAACTTAGTTGCAACATAATATTATAATAACAATGATATGTTTGAGTGTTTGACTTTACAAAACTACATCTCTTCGATTACTGTACAGATAAATAATAATATTTTTGGTAATAATTTGTTCACAAATTGTATCTCATTACCTTGTCGTACATTGAAATAACACAATACCTATTCCGATTCAATTACGACGATGATTGCGTCAGGTAAACGAAAGAATTGTTTGTTTACTTAGTCAGATGTCCACGTCCCTCGCAGGATGATGAATGACGATCCATTCTCTGGTAGTCTAGTAACCGTAAAAATATTGGTACCAATAAAGTCATACAACTAGTATCGATGGAAGAAAATCTATCACCGAAATCAACGGTGCAGCAATCCGCACAGAATGATGGACGTCTGCAATTGGTGGTCATACAGCTAATCGTGCTATTTATTTCGTATGGCTTTTAACACAAATCAATTTCTCTATCGGAGTTAAACAATACATGCCATAATATAATACGGAACAGATATAAAGATATAATGATAGTCGGTACAACTTATAAATCGAAAATCACAGATATTAAGGGTAAATAGCTCTTAAAATGTGGTCCTTTTCACAGACGAATGTCGGGGTCAGTAATCCAGATAATTACTTCTGGGATCACAGCATAAAAGCCTTCAAACCTTGCTTGAATTTGAGTTCGAATTGATCTAGTGTTATCGGAGACATCCACCCGAATCTGTGATTTCTGCACAGTTTCCGACAAACGAATGGTGGGAGTTGGTCAAACCACGCCTCCGACTTAAGGAACAGCCAAAACCTTTCCAAGAGTTTAACCCCATGGATACAACGACCCACAGTAAGATAAAGGAGACGGTGTCTTGTGGCAGAGGCCACCTTTTGCTGTTCGGAATCAACGGTTCTGGGCGTTCTGTTGGAAAAAACAACTAAAATGCACATCTCAGAAAGGAAAAATCCCCAAAGATCTGTGTAGGTAGATATATAACTTTGTCACTCTCACTCATCAGCGGCAGAGCTGAGTACAGAAATAATAATAATATGCACTCTGTACAGTGTTGTAAAGTATTCGAGTAAAAGTATTTAGATACTTTTTCCCGTATTGAATACTTTTTTAAATATTTTTTATTTTGAAGTATTTGAATGGTATTTTAAATACTTTTTTTTACTATTGAATACTTTTTTTTGTTATTTAAATTCATAATTTGTTTACATTTATAATTCTTGTTAAATAAAAATACCGTGCCATCGTGGTCATGTAGAACAACAAGGTATGATCGTAACTTTTTGACGATCAGATCCTTCGATAAGCACGTGACGTAGCGTAATTTACAGTAGTAAATAGTAATAATTAAATGACAATATGATAATACGGATAAGTAAGTGACGTATGCGCGGACTTGATCCAAATCTGGAATTTTACGATCATACCATGTTGCTTATATTATAATAATCGTGGTTATGCTTCAATGTTGTATATTTATCATTTATGGACAATTTTATTAAGTTTTCGTCGATTAAATTTTTTTTTCTCCGGGAAATAGTTTATCGTCCAATATAAATAAGTCTATGATTTGATTTATAACTACCTACCATTTCGGAATGCGAAATTATTATTACTAATTATTAGTACTAGGTACCTATTTGCCAAGAAAATGGTTATCAATTATCATCTTCGTTTATCGTCGACGAAGATCGATGACGGTATAGGATATCCAAATACATAATATAATATATTTATAATACATAAGCTTTAAAAATATATAACTATATGTAGGAAAAAATTCATTGTTGTGGTGCAACTATCACTAAAAAAGAACTAACATGGCTGATCAGTTTTTTGATTATTGATCGAATCATGTTTATAAAATTCAATAAACAAATTTTTTACTATAATACACTATTTCAGAACTAAAGAGATTTTTTTTTTTGTAATTGATGATTATTTTAAATACTTCTGAAAAGTATTTTAAAAGTATTTGAGTAATTACTTAAATACTTTTTAAAAATGTTTTTTACAACACTGACTCTGTACTATATCCACTGCCCAGCAAAATAGTACCCTGCACTACCACGAACCCACCAATTTTTTATCTAGGATACTTGCCCGAAAAATGCTCGGTCATGCTGCCACAGTCTGTAGCATTCTTATAAATTGTATCGTCCATTATTATAGTAATAGGTACATCAAATTTCTAAGGTACTATGAAATAAACGAATAACAAGTAAACAGAATTTATAATTAAATAATTTTAATCATTTCACTCATATTTTGTAAAACATTGTATCTACAAGTTACATTTTAGATTTAGGTGTACATAAATAAAAGATTAGTATTTTTCCTAACTCTAGCAGTACAAAAGTATTCTGAAAAAAAAAGTATAATTAAAACAAAGTTTAGAACCAAAATTGTTTTATAAATGCATAATTATACTTGACTTTTATTTGAGGAATTATAAAAAACAAATTACACATTAATTGTAAAAATTTGTAAAAATTTGTTAAAAAGTTGTATGACAGTACAAAAAAATGTAAATAAATGTAGGTTATTTATCAAGGTTAGATACTATTGAAATCTTTTAATCCTTTGATTACATTTTTTTTTTGTTTTTACATACAACGTATCACAAATGTATGATATGTTTAAAAGCGTTTCAATGTAAAATTTTCAAATATCTGTGATACACTCTGTATAATATGTAGTACTGTAGTGTATTACTGTACTATATACTATGTTAAAGTTATATTTAAACATATTAAAGTCTTACAAAACATGACAAAAATATATCATACACAAAACTTTTTAACAATAATCAATACACAGAAGTCTCTCAATTTAAACAAGTATGGCAAAGTGTATGAAGTATTATAGTTTATAGTTTATAATATTATGTAACATTTAAAATGTAAATCTATAAAATTATATTTTTAGACTAGATTAAATAGTTTGGATGTGTTTTTATAGTTTTGAGTATATAAAAAAATATATAGTTAGATCTTACTCTTGATAATCATAAAGGTAAAAATACAATACATTTCTACTTATTGTCGTCGACCTTAATAAAATGGCAAATATTAATCTTGATTAATCGATTGTTAATTTACATCCCCCATAGAAAAAAAAATAAAAACATCAAATCTTAGTACTAACAGACAAATAAACAAATCCCAACAATTTAAATATTGTGAACACAAAAAAAACTATATCTCAAAAAATATATATATAAATATATTATATAATATAAAACACAAACATTTTAAATGTTTATTGACAAACTAAAATAACCAATTAATAATTTTTTAACTAAAAAAAAAAAAAACAAGAACAATATTAATAATTATTAATTACAAAAAAATGTGTGCGTTTTATTCATTTTGGAATGTAAAAATTTCCAATAAAAATAATTTACTTTCTACTAGATGATTTATTATAAAAATAACATTTAAATAATTTTAATTTGATTCTGGTTTTAAAAATTTGAGTAATAAAAATCATTTAAAAAGTATAGTTGACAGAATATTGATTAATATATCGATAATTAAGTGAAAAATATTTGCAGTAAACAATGATCATCCAGAAGAAATAATTGGACAGTATAATCCTTTTACTAATATGTTTATAAAGTTGTTGATATTTTTTAATAAGTAACTCAAGGCCATACTTTTTTGAAAAGATCCATAAATGAATCATAAATCATAAAAGTTATACCAACATCCAAACACACTCTGCTAAGCCGTGGTACAGTTCCTTTGTAAAATCTAAACAAAAATATAAAATTGCTTATAAATGGAAAATTATTATTAATTTTTTTTAATATAAATTAATGTACATAAACAATTTATGTTGAGATATGAAAGAATAAAAATGTTTTGTTCATAATTAAATTAATACTTACGCCGTTGGTCCTTCTTTTTTCCATATTTGAACCATGCAGTCCACGGTGCTCTTGTACTTATGGGCTTCTAAACCTTGCATGCGTGTCTTAACAACATCTAATGGTGTATTACCGTACACACTAGCAGCACCTGCTGCCATACCAAAAACTCCAACTAATAGTTTAGGTACTGGTTTGTTAGGATCATCGCCCTTGTAGAGATTTTTTAATGCACCCATTACATAAAATCGAATTGCTTGGTTGGTACCTTGTTTCAATATTGTTGGCATCAATCCTTGGTAAACACCACTAATACCTATGATAAAATAAAATAAAATATTAATTTTTTTAAACAATTTTGATAATATGACAAATATTAACAACCAACTAAAAAGCTCAAAACCCAATGCACTAAATAAAGCATAAATATTCTCTAAACATGTGAAAAAACAAATATATTTAGTCTTTAATCTTAATACATAATATAACAAAAATAAAAGAAACAAACAGTTTTATTGGGACACATCATAATAGCTATATTAATCGAAAGTACTCATAAAGTCATAACTTACAATAATATTGGTGATAAACTAATATTATCAAAATGCTAACTATAAATTAGAATTATTTTTAAAAATACATATTATAATAACTATACAGGCGATAAATGTATGGATAAATAAGTCTTAAAAACAACACACAATTATGATGTAGAATCAGTAACTTTTTTAAGTAACATTTAAGTTGTTTTGTTATATCACCTATTATGTCCAGATGTTTTTTTACTTATAATTGTATACAATACAACTATGCGTTATAGCAGTGGTGCACAACCTGCTGCCCACGTGTGAAAGTGAAATACTTATTATAAGAAAAGTTTTTATTATTTTTATAATCAAAACAATTTATAAATGAAAGTTTCAATTTGGTTTTTAAATTTTTCTTGAACATAGTTTAACCAATTTTTTTTAAAACTAATAATTATAAATTGTTTGTTTTGACCTACATTCTAAGGTCTATAAATAACATTTCACACATATTAATGACCATTGTACAAATTCAGGAAATTCAGTTGGCCCTTAATACTGTTTTGCTTGTTCAGCTTGTTTTTTGAACAGTTAAAAATGAAACCCTAGATGAATTTGAATGCACAGACACTCGTGTTTTTAATTATGTAGAATATCAATTGTGACAAATATATGTGCAAAGTGCAATATAACTTTTTATAAATGAAAATAATATAATACTTAAAGAATGGAATAATTTATAGTAAAGTATTATTATGCATATTAACCTAATATCCTATAAGTATATAATAATAACAGTTTCATAATGAATGTTTTGTTAGTAACCTTGTTCTTTGATGATAATACTGGTCCCGTGGAAAAAACCTTTGAACCTTGGTTTTTCTAATCGTTGATCATTGATAAACTTCACTTTCACGGTTTCCATTGGGGTGACAGCAAGTATGGCTTCAGACACTCCGGCACCAAGACCGCACAAGACTCTTTGAGTAGCTGTTAATTCGCCATTGCCTCCTGTAATTTGAGTGCTAAGAGCTTCAAATGCACCAAACCTATTCATAGAATTATTTTATTAGTACATTGTATTGATAACTTAGTTTAAATGATTTTTTTTTAATTTACCTAACAGCTGATTTTGGAATGGATCCATAAAGTAACACACTAAGTCCACGATATAGACCAAATATACCATGGCTTTTCACAGTCTTTTTAACACAATCCATTATACCATTATACTTTCTAGCACCAGCTTTTTCATCGAGTTGCATTTGTGTTTTTACATATTCAGTTGGATAAGTGATACATATTTCTATACCCCCAGTAATTCCACCTATAAAACAAATAATTTAATTTCAAAAAAAATACATTTAAATTTGATGGTTTAAAGATGAATAAATTGAAATCTAGTAAAATAATAGAAGTTTATAAATTGATTATTAATTAAATGCCTATTTTATATTTGAGAATAATGGTATAACACTTATACATCACTTAACAAATAATTTTGTTCATAAAATACCTCATAAAAACTACAGACTTGAGATAAAATATGTAATTTTGTTTTAATTTATAAATTAATAAATTATAATAAAGTCAAATTTATCTGGATTTTTTAAATAACCGATTATATTTTCTGAAAAACCAATGTGTATCTATTATTATTTTTATGATGTATGAGAATTGATTAAACTAAATTTTTACTTATAACTAGCAACATAATTCTCAAAAAAAAATGTCAAGGTTAGAATGAAGAAGAATTGTGAACTTTATAGTTACCTACATATACTATTTACAAATGTGTGTATACTGTTAAGTGTAATTATTTTGATACTAGGCAGATATATAATTTGATATAATAATGGTTAAATAAATCTACTTTTAAGATAATTTGTACAGCTTTGGATTTCTTTTCAATGGTTTTTTGTTTCAGTTAGATACCTAGGTTAACATAAGTACTTTATAATATACACATTTAGGTGTATTGATTTTCATGCTAAAATAGTTTTCAATTTATTGTACAACAAAATTAGGAATTCAATATTATATACGTAAATCGGGTACCTAATTACAAAGTCAACACCAACTAAGAATGAATTAGGTAATGAAATGTGTGAAACTGTGAAATAGAATTCAAGCCTCAAGGTCAAAAAGTATATGCTCCCATTGCTCTCAATGACCTTTGTAAGGACTTTACAGTACTATAATATGATGCTTATCTAGTAACTCTATTTTAAATGTTCATAGCATTATCTATATTCTGTATAGATATCAATAAGATGTATATGCCAATAGTTCATAAATAAAAAAAATGGTATCAAGAAAGCACACAAATTCAGAAAAAATACAATTATGTTTCCAATAATATAAAACAAAAAAAAATATATTTTACAATTTATTCAACTAAAGATTAATTAATAAACATAGTAGAAAATAACTAATATTTGTTTAACATTAAATGTGAATTCTACAATAGTTAGAATATTAAGGGCATGTCGCATGTCACAGTCGAATCAACACATGTTATCTCTGTTTCTATAACTTGGCAACAATAATGTAATACAATTTATGTAAATCCAAAGCAGGGGGTATTAGCTTTAGATTAGTAGGTAATAGTATCCTAACCTATTATGAGATGTAAGGAATAAAATAATCATGTACAATTTACAGATATAAATAATGTTTAAATTTCTTTAAATTACATAAGGTCAGTGATATGTTCTGATATTAGTTTTAAAATCTACTGTTTTTGGTTATACAAAGAATAAAACTTTAGTATTATAGGATATAAAAAAATATACAAACAAATATTTTAATTTTAATTTTCTTATAACTCCTACACAACAACTGGATTAATTACTAATTAAATATAAACAAATTAAAAAAATTAAATGATGTAATGGAAATTATTGAAATTTTATTATAACTACTAATAGCTATAACTAATTAATACCTAGGAACTAATATTATTTTATTGATTAGTTGTATTGTCAATCATTTTATAGTTTTGTTGTAAGTATGTAGGTATATATAGGTAATATATTCATAATGATACTTATAGCTTAGTCAGCATTTTTAATATAGCCTATTTTGGCTAACTTTAATAAAGTGATGAAATCTAGAAAGAATTGTACTACAACAGTAAAACAACAAATATGTAAGAAACACACAATTCAAGTATGACATTCTAACAGTTATGTCAATACATATTTAAACAAAATCTAAGACATTAATCTGAGGCAAGGGGATTAATTAATAAAATACTATAAATGTCTTTAAAATAAAAAACGGAATTAAGTACAGAGGCGTTAAAGCATTAAAATTGAGATTAAAACTATAGAAATAATTTTAAATGGATGTCACTATCTTTGAATATTTAAATCTGTAAAAGAACTTAATAAATGTAAATTTTGGTTTTTATAAATGGGAAATAACACAAAACAATGGTTTGACTATTTTATTAATCTTACATAACGTCGGGATCTAACCTAACTTGGCACTTGTGTATGATTATTTGTCGTAATAGATAATAGTATGTAATATTATGTACAATATATAGGTAATATTTTACCTACATTTTATTTCTTCAGAATAAACATTATGTACATTAAATTAGTATACATTCAGTGTATCTGAAGCACTTCAACTAAATATTTTAATTTATAAGTAAACATAGGTAGGTAAATGATATTTTCTCAAGCTTCCAAGAATAAAATATAAAACTATTGGCAAGTGGCAAATAGATAAAATTACAATTTCAAATCATAGAAAATTGTAAAATTTTGAATAGATTTTATAAACGGTGAGGTACCTATAAAACTACTTATACCTAACATAGTATAGGCGATTATAATATAGGTACCTATGATATTATAATATATTTATTTATTTTAAATACCTACAGCTATTAGGTAAAATATTAGCTGCAATATTTAAATAACATCTCACCAGCAACAATGCCCTTCAAGCCCTTGTTGGATCCACCAGCTGGTGCAGCAGCTCCATACGTTGTCATCCATGGTCGGTAAAATGGGCTCACAAATTTGTTTTTTCCGTCCATTTTGTTTAAGACAAGACCTAATAATATTTATATAATTTAATGAATAAAAATTAATATTAAAAAACAGGTGCAAAAAGTGTACCGATAATAATTGTATTATTGTGTTTTTGAAATAATTGTTGCTGAATAAAATCAAATAAAAACTAGAAAAAAATAATTGCTAAATTGCTAAATAATAAATAAATAAATAAAAATCCGACGAGTCAGACAACAACTACAACCATGCTACCTCCAGCTGCAACTATTCTATAGTTGTAATTTATAATTCTACTTTCTGCCATTACCACATTAGTCAACCCGGCCAACGCCAGTGTGTGGTTATCTCGGATGAAAACGTTAGTAAATGTTGATAACAGTCCTACCGAACAGCTGGGCGCTGGCTCCCTCCCACTAGCTCGCAATGTCACTGGAAGAGCGAAGAGCTTGTCCAGTAGTGTTGTTGACTTGTTGTCCCTTGTCCATAACCAGAAATTTAATTTAGCACATCATAATAACCAGTAACTACTTGGTATATTATGGTAGGTATTAATATTAAAATATCAAATTTAATATAAATTAAATAACATGTTGGTACCTTGTTCTGTGTTGTTACTTATTGGTACTTCGGAATTTGGGTACTTTTTACTTATTTGTTTCTTGTGACATTAACCGTGGTAATATATTGTAACGAACTTAATTATATCATGCGTGGTAGGGTGTAGCCAGGAATTTCTTTCATATTAAAATAATCTTGGCCATTCCTTATAATTTATATCTACCTAATATGAATTATAAAGCGGCCAGTACTGCACGATCAATATAATTGATATCAATAAAATATATCAAAACGGTTTTGATACTTTCAATACAACCAATACACGCCAATATTGAATATTAATTAATTATATTGATCATGTATTCGTGTATGGGCCGCTTAAACCTACTCACCTACCTATACTACTGCTAGCCTGTCCTTGAAAATATTCTTTCGACCTGGCCGGGCGGGTTAGCAATGACAGCATTACAGCAAGTAAAATATTAAATAATACCTAACACCTAGTTAATTGTTATTTGTTATATTATAATAAAGCTCCTGTAGTAAATTAAGAAAGCTGCAATTATCGTAACTATTTAAAAACTAGGCCGCTTAGGGCAACCAGTCCTATTATGATTTGATGATTTGTAGGATTTGTCCGATTTTTATCGATATCCTTGTTTATCTGGACTTATCGAGGAATTTCAAATATGCTCTTTCTTACTCATAAGTATTAAATTTTTAATTTAAAAAACGTAATAACTTAACAACATTTTTGGAAAAATCATACTTTAAAATATACCTATTTAATGACAAAAAATTATTCATTTTTTTTTTATTTTTTGTGTTAAGGTTCAACATCTATGATTATTAGCCTGGAAGTTATTTAGAAAGTTTTAAACGGTCGGTTAGAACACGTGTATATGTGTGGCCAGGATTTGTCACTAAAACCCGGGTGGTCACCCATCACCCATCCGAGAACTAGTGACACCGACTGATGCTTGACCTCAGAACATGTTGTGACTGAGGCCAACTCCCCAGGCCACAACAAAATGTATTATTCTGCTTCACAATATGAAATATTTATACTTCTGTACACAATTCAAAAAAAATAAATAATAGGTAAATAAAAATGGTAAAATATAATTATTTTCAAAAATGTTCATATTGAAATAACAAAGTTCAAATTATGTAAAAATTAATTTTCAATACCGTTAACAATTTTCGAAATATTGAATGTTTTGAGTCAATAGAATTTCCTAATCCTTGGTACCTATATTATACATTATAAATTATTAAATTATAGAATAATATTATTATATAAATGTATAATATACCATTAGGTAAATTAAATAACTACAGTACCTACTGCATGTCAAAATTGGTTTTTGGTTAGATAGCTTATTAGGAGGGGGTTATAGACATAATTCCTTGTAATATTATTGATATTTACATAAAAACCGTACAACTTGGTTAAAATGATTTTAAATTAATTAATTTGTTAATTTGTCTACACCTCGTGTGTGCTACACTGGACATTAAGTAACTATATGTTTATATCTACTAACTCTCGTAATCTCGTTCGGTGATCATAAATGAAAATAATGACTGAATATAGAAAATTATTGTAGGTATACGTCGTATATTATATAAGTACTCAATTCACAACACAACACAAGTATATACAATACAATATACACATGTATACGTATACAACTAGTATAACTAACACAACGAGTATCGGAGTATGTATAGGTCCGAGGTCGTCTGACCTTCTCCAAATAACTACACAATCCTGTTTACTTATATTATACGATATACCTGTATTGGTAGATATAGACGTATAATAGGTAAACTGTTAAAATATTTTAAAATGGTACCTATCATCATCTACCACCCAAGTTATTATAATTATTATTATACTTTTATAAATCTATAACCATGTTAATATGTCATAAAATACTAACAGTATTATTTGAATAAATATTTTCAAACTTGGCATTACGAATTTAGTTACAATAATATTATACAACCTCGAGTATTCGAAATAGGTACCAATTTTAAGGCAGTAAGATATTTCATATCTGATATCTGATGTATTATAACCATTGCTGCAATATCAGCAAATTAATTAACTTATAATTTTATTAGGAATAATACATTCAAAACTTCGATAGGAAGTCTAGAAATCTATAATTTAATATTTACAATACATAAGTACCTATATAATTTCATCACCTATAACTTATAAGTTATAAGCTACAATAAATAATATTTACCTTCATTATTTTTTTTAAATTACCTTTTAAAAATGATAATTTTTACGAAACAAAATATATTTAAAAGAAATGTATTTATTTAAGGAAAAAATTAATTTAACATAACTATTAAACTATAAAATATATTAATTGATTAGTAACTGCACATAGTGGGACAATTGTTAACTCATTAAATTATAAGTTACTTTAAAAAAGGAACTAGTTACATATTTATAACTTAGTTAAGTCATTTAACTTTTCAACTTTGTAATACCCAGCATTGCCTGACTCGTATAATATTATATCTTATTTTAGTATTTATATTTTATATTAAAATACCATTATATAGGTAGTAGGTACTTAGTACTTACCTAGTTACCTAATATACTAATGTATACTATTTAGATATTATAGATTAGGTACTCAGTAAAGTATAGTCACTAATACAACATAGGCTACTTCAACTTTGGTTTTATTTCCAAATCAGAAGTATGTACCAATAAGTAATTTATAAAATGAATCTTCTATTTAAACAATGTACCTAAGTGGTGCGGTAGATACTTAATCTATAATTAATAATTTTACCACTCATTCCAAATACAGTCATACAACATAACAATAATAATTTTATCAAACTATATAGTATATATACTATATATTATTAATAGATGATAGCAGTAGTGTAATTTTTTTTGTGGGGGTCTATTTTATCGATGGGCATTTTTTGACCCTGTTTGACTTGCTGGTTGTTGGTGATAAAATATCCCTATTTTTTAATAATTTTGAGAAATTCTAGGTACACTGGAATTTTGGTATGTATTAAGTAGGTACAAAAGTACTACGAAAATATTGTGACTATATGATAAGTTGTATATTAGATAATCTAATTTTAGATGTTATGGTTTTATTTTTTAATAGTTGTTATATTTGTAGACAAGTGGGGAAAGTGTATGAGTGTATCCCATATAATTTTATTTCTGAATCGTTTGGTTTTGTTTTATTCCAACAATAGTATCAACTAAATATCATACTAACATAATGCCAATTTCTAAAGACCAAACAACCGCTCTAAACTTCATCCCATGATTAGTTATTACTAAAGAACCTCTGTTTGTATTAAATATTTTTCACTTTCAGGTTTTTTCACTCAGTTGGTAGGTATATACATACAAAAACGAACAGCAGTCGTTTTTAGTGTTGTAATATTTAATTTGTTTGGCACTTCTAAAAAATCTAAAATAATGTCACAAATGTAGTAAATAGGAACTGCCTAAATATATTTAAATAAATTGATCCCCTTGGTATATACTGTACCTTTAATATTATTAATACCTCGGGTTAGGTTAGTAACTATTCCTAGTTCAACACCTGGACGTAATAAATGGTTTACAAAAATACAAAAAATACACTCACTTCAGCGGTAATAGGGACTAATTACCAATTATTGATATATTTCGGTCAGAGATTATAAGGCCTAAATGGCTCAAAATAACTTGATTTTTATTTTTAGTACCCCAAAATGGAATTATTGATTATAGCACATTTTACCTTAGATAATAAATGTATAACATAATGCAATACAGAGTAATGTAGGAAGATATTAAAAAAAGTTAATTTAAAACTAATAATTTCATAGTTAAGCACATAACGTTTACAGTGCGATTCACCAAGCATGCAAACCGCCATTGTTACTTTAATAATAGATTTATTCAAATTCAAAAAAAAAAATAATTTTAAAAACCCATTTTAATTGTATAAATAAAATTGTTCGAAATTTCAATGTATATTGCATAGTATATAAAAATAGTTAATAATAATTGGTTTGATATATATTTAAGTATTAAGTGTGTAAATACTAAATTGTACGTATTAAAATATGTTTGATTTAGAATTAATTAGCATATAACCATATCTCTTTAATGTATTTATTAGAAAATTACCGTTTTTTTTTTATCATAATATTTGTAATATTTAATAAATCTGACTCAAACAATGCAATGAAGGATCCAATCAACATTTTATATATAACCTTTTTAATAAGAAATTTAATTTTACATAATTTTTATAGAAACATTTTTTTTTATAATTTCATTCGTTCAACAAATATATTCATATAACTACAAATTACCAATTTGGTAAAAAAAATTTAAAAAGTTGTACTTTATTATTTTTCTTCGAAAAAATCTATAGACTTACAATAAATAATTTACTTATACTTTTTATTCAAAACTGTACGTTTTACAATTTAAGTTCTATAGATTTTTTCGCTAAGTATCATATTTATTTAGTTAGGTCGACAAAATGATAAAACTACCCTTGTTGGCTATTTTTCAACCCCCCAGGGGCACGGGAAGGGAGTGAGTAGTCGGCTGCATCCGAGTTGGGTCCCGAATTTATAATTGCTACACTAGTTGGGTCCCGAATTATTTTAACTACAACACTAGTTCTTGAATATTTGTTGGTAAGTACTACACTATACTAACATTTTCCTTCCCATTTTAACAGACTGTCCATGATCTATTTAGACCACAGGTTTGGTTAAAAATGTTTTTTACAGTTTTATTTTAACCTAACCAACTCGTCGAGGTTTAATCGGCATTTATCGCTGTTCCAGATAGTTTATTATAACTTATAAGATATGTCAAAAATTATCAGATATTACCGATAACACTGAAATTATAACAAGAATGCTCGAAAACCACTTACGTCTTTCTTTATTACGAATATCCCAATAATAGTCATATTATATACGTATAAGTACTTTTCATTTGGTCGGCAGAGTTCTACCCCCACCTTCACGTGGTGCCGACTGGAAACGGAACTCCGGTTCCGGCCAACGGGGGAGGCACAGAAGGCAAACTGTATAAAACCGAACACCGGCGGGTCAACACCAGCGACCAGAGGTGGCCAACATCGCCCTCCAACTACCGACAACACAGACCGAAGGCTCGAAGCATAGACGACCGGGAAGGTTAGACGGTTACCCAAGGCTAGTACACTCAGCGCCTCAGTTTCATTATCTGAAACTGCCTCACAGCGGCAGGCGTGCCCCGGGGCATTAGTAGGATACCCGGACGACTGATCCCCGTCCGGGTGATCTCGATCTGAGAAAGGGCCGCGGGTCGAACGCCTCAAGTCTCCGCAGACCGGCCACTCGACGCTAAGAAGCAGCAAAAACATAAGAACGGAGCAACCAGAAGGAAAACTGATCAAACCCAACACCGGCGGTCCACGACCAGAGTGGGCTAACATCGCCCCCATCCGACACCAACAACAGCCGACGACAGACTCCGGGAGACATCGTGAAGCAGCTGAACAACGGCAACTCTCCGCGCCCGAAAATTCACCGAAACTGCCGACAGTGGTTGGAGGGCCACTGCGCAGGAGTAGAACACCCACAGACGACCGTCCATCGTCAGGGTTTCTGAGTAAGTAGGGCCGCAGATGCAGACACCCACGCGACGCAGCGACACGAGAGGATCCCGGATGACGATAGAACGAATACGGATGCAGAAGGAAAACTGGATAACCAACAACGGCGGCAAGCACCCTCCACAACATCAGAAGGAGAAGGACGCGAGGCACGAGACTCGAGGCTGACGATCTAACAAGCCGGGCCGGGAAACCACGAACGTGACATCCAGACTGGCGGGCAGCAAAGCCGGGTCGATATTCAAAAAAAGCAAACAGCGGGCCATTATAAGCCACCATTGTTTTTTCTATATTAATAATATTTATTTGTATAACTTATGTTTATGTCAGGGGGGTAAGTCGGAGACTGTCCCGACTACCCCCCACGTATGTATATTATTTGTTTTTTTTTCAAATAAACGATGGCGGCGGCGTCGCGGCAACAATGCGAAAGCAATTCCCGCGGCGCCGTCGGTTCAAAACTGACAAAAAAAAAAAAAAACTGTAAAAAACATTTTTAACCCTAGGTACCTGTGGTCTAAATAGATCATAGACAGTATGTTAAAATGGGAATGAAAATGTTAGTATAGTGTAGTACTTACCAAAAAATATTCAGGAACTAGTTTAATACCTATAATAATTCGGGATCCAACTAGTACATTACCTGCGATTAGCCCCTAGTATTCGGGACCCAACTCGGATGCGCCGAAGTAGTCACGACCAAAATTATTTTTTTATAACAATGAAAAAAGTGAGGGGGTCCTACATCAACAATTTTAAAGTTAAAAAATAAGGACCACCCTAATTTATATATATATATATATATATATGTATTAATATAGAGTTTATAATAATAGCTCTTTTCGAGGTATACATCAGAGTTATGACATTTTTTAATTTTCGATTTTTTTTTAGTTAATTTATATTCTATACCTAGGTACTTATAAATGTCATTAAAACACTTTCGCTTGGTTAAAAAACTTCAATATTTAATACCGCGTTCCTCATAATAATTGATAGTTGTTAGTTGTTATTAAGGTTTCTAGAAGGTACTTCGAGGCATTATAAATTTTAGATTATTTTTCACGAACATTGCCAGCCCCAAATCACAAATCAATGACAGTGGTGTAGTACTTTACTTTTCAGACTAGTAATACTGTAATACTTACAATTAACTTCAATCATTTACATCTATTAAACTCTTATTTTAAAATAAGATAAAACAGTTACATTAAAACATAAATATTTTGTAAATGATTTTAATAAAGAATAACAATTAGGGAAATAGTTGTACCTACAACTAAAATACTCATCAACATGAAGAAAGTAATTGTTTTAGATTATTCAAGGCCTTCAAACCTTTAAACTAAAACAAATTATTTATTTGGTAAATAAATAAAAAGACTTTACTCTTGGTATGATATTTAATAACGGTATAAAAGTTTATTATATTATATTATTATGTTTATGATTTCACAGAAATCCTTAAAAATGTATATACTATATACATAAAAATATCATTAAAAAATATTATAGCCATCATGAGTTATAACTCAATAAGAAGACTGAGAAAGCTTAGTAGTCATAGCATAGCTGAAAATAATTTTTATAATTGTTTTGTTCAATGAAAAATGTAGACTAAAAATATATAAAATTATAAATAAAATATAGTTGTTAAACTTATAAGTAGATAACATGATGATTAAACTAATTAAAATATAAAATTAACGAACAAATAAATTCTAGATAATAAGAAGAACTTAAAGTTATAAAGATCTGCATAATTTGTAATATACCATATCGGTATATATGTTTGTACATTTTATAGTAAATTAACCATGCCAAAACTTATCAATGAACCTGTAGAAATGCCAATACCAAGGAATGTAATCATCAATGAACTCGCCACTTCCTGTTCATGTTTGTCAACAAAACTATAAGCAAAAAATAATTATTTAATATTAATACACATTGATCATTTACAGCCTAAAACAGTAGTTAATACTTACTAGGGAATAGAAGCCATTGTGATGTTAGAAACTATACCATTGGTAAAACCAAAGATAGACATAATAACAGCATATAACTGATCATCATTTATTAATACAGGTAAATAATAACGAGGCTTAGCATTACAGACCATCATCAAGGGAATAAAAATAGTTCTCAAAGCAGATAATATTGTGGATGGCCAAATACTATCAACTGGCTGTAATATTACAATAATTAATATCATTTGTTTCTTTTACAAGGGTTAAACATTAGTATCTATAATTTACTCCTAATATAAACATATTAGGTTAAAATAAATTAGTAATTACCAGTTGTATGAGGTTTGACATTACTCTTCCTAAGAAATCACATGTACTGAAAAGTAAATAAGCTATCACTGGCAAAAAATATGTATCTAAATACATAAACATTAATATTAATATAGTTACCTATGTTGATAAAATACAAATTAAGGTATTAAATGTTTACCTGTCCAGGCAGTGTGTTCTTTGTTCACTGAAGTTATTAATACAGTAACTGCTGGGTAAACAGACATAGTGACTAAAAAATTATAGCAAGTGCTCAAACCCAATTTCCATATCTATTAAAATGAAAAATAAATATCAAACATTTTGAATCATACAAATAACCTTAGTAAAAATTAGAAAATATAATAAAGTATTCATCTTATATAATACTCAGGCAATTAAAATTAATATGACACATATCCCATACTTATTTCAACAGTTATAGTTAGTTAAAGTATTGTTGAGTTTTTATGGTTTGGAATTTTAGAAATTTAAAAACAAACAATTATAAACCTAAAAATATATACCTTTTTTAAAACCACATATGTATCAGCAATAGGGGTTCGTTCATTTCCGAGTAAAGCATATTGTGTAGAAGATGAACGTCTAATCCAGGTGCTTGCAGGTACGTCTTGAACATAATACTTATAAATAGTCTAAAAGAATGAATTTATTTCAAAAAGTTAATGCAAAATAAATTTAAAAATTTTTGATAATTTTTGTACTAGACTTATTTGCTGCCTACAGAACATGGCTATTGGTTTTGTTATTTCTTTTGATTACACTAATTTCATATTTCAAAGCAAAAAATAAAATTTACAATTTAAAAACATCATTAAGGGAAGTTAAAGGTTGAGTTAGGTAATAAATAAAATATTTTTGAAACATTTCATTATTTAGCACATGCATCAATGGGCAAAATAACTTTAAGATCAAAACCTATAATCACAATTGGACGAATAGCCTATGCCCTATATACCTATGGGAAATGTTGAAAACAATTTTTTTTTTAATAATCATTTTTTGAAACTACTTAATTATGTTTATAACAATTATTTTAAAAAAAAAACCAAAATATTTTTCATTTTCATATCAATCAAAACAATAAATTTAAGTATGTGTGTTGGAATTGAGTTCATCAAGACTAGCCCTTAATAGGTTGCATATAAGACATAGTTACATGTTATTATTTTGAAACTTTAAGAAATAATAATTTTGATATTAGATCATGGTATTTTAAAATATACTAACTGTTTTGACTAATATAGCGTATAAAACTAGAGAAAGCAATATGAATATATCGGCAAATAAGAAATAAACGAAGGCACTGTGGACAGACGATGCACCCCACCACAAAGCCAATATTTGAGCTAATGCAGCAACAATGCCTCCCAATGCTTGACCACATACAGTTGCTGTCATGTAGCTACTGTCAAAAAAGGTGACTAAATTGAACACAGCTCCTTGCATTATAGAACTTCCAACTAAAAAAAAGACATGTCTTATTAAAACTTTCATAATTTTACTTAACATTAGTAATAATAATGATGTAAACTGAACTCACTATTTAAAAAAATAACTGTTCCTAAGGTAATTATAAAGAACAATATTTGCCATGAATCGGAATCCAAATTAACTAAAATTGTTGTAATTGTGAACAAAACAAGCATTAACATCAAAGAACTGATCATTCGAAAGTGAATTGACATCCTACAAATATTTACATTTTTTAGCTTTTATGATATTTAACTGGATACATAGAAAATGTTATTAGATTATTTCATTACTTACTTTTTAGCTAAATATGTATTTAGTAATAAGGTTAGTGAACTAGGAACTGATGCGGCAATGGTAAGAAAAGAAGTGAAGTTAGCTTGAAGTCTTGAATGGCTATGATCTTCATTTGGCAGAAGAAAAATAACTTGAGTATCATTTGGCAAATTTCGTAGCTTATACATCCAGTACTTGAGATTAAAACACAACATATAAATGCAATTAGGTAAATACATTCAATAAATTACTATAAATATATAAGCCAAATTCATTAAATCATACAATGAATACCTAGTGAACATCAAAAAAGAAAATATAAAATGTATTTTTGATCCTATTCCTTAATCTCATAAGAATATATAATACAATGAGAACTAATAACTGATTGATATTAAATAACAATACATTTTAGATGGAACATTGTTACAGCCAGTAGGTAAACAATGCATGTATTGTAAAGTACAGTTTTATGAAAGTTGGAGAAATATAACAATTACATTTTAATTTAAATTGTACGCCTAATATGATTTGTATAATTTTTTAACATAATTTCTAATATCTTATATTATAATTATTGAATTATTGAAGATAACACTTACANTATTTATTTATCTAATTTTCAAATGACTCTATTAACCGGCGTGTGAGTCGAATAGACGAATTTTTTGCTGTGTGTTTGTATATGTGCGAATCGGGACCAGCCGTTTTCAGTATAATAGACGAATGAGTCAATTAACCGTGAGTCCAATAAGCGGCGACCACTGTATTATAATTATTGAATTATTGAAGATAACACTTACATCATTTGCAGTCATAAAAAAGTACCATGGAAGTAGAAGACAAGTACCAAGTACATAAAATATTAAAAATCCTAAGTTGTACCTGAAAAAGAAAATGTAATAAAATGTAAAAATAATTACTTATTATACTTAAGAGGATGCTACACCCACATGTGTTGTCTCTGTCTTACAAATATACAACATGACAAAATTTATTTCGCGGGATAAAACCACTCAATTTATAGTCCTGGTAAAGATACCAAAAGTTTACACAATATAGAAGGTAATATTTTGTGTCGTAGCGTTTTTAATTCTTTACCATTAATGAGAAGAAAGTTATATAACTTTTAAAAATCTAATATTTTAACATTTTTCAAACTTAAACAACTTTTGATATATTGATCTTATCCAAAAATAAAAAACCCTACAGTTAAAGTTCTTCTCTATTCATGGTGAAAATTTAGTTTCTTAATTATAATTGTAGCCTTCTCGGTTCTTTCTCGAGCAAAACATTTGTAAGACGGAGACAACACATGCAGGTATAGCGTTTTCTTACAAACTCTTTTTCATAATTTTGAACTGAAGTTAGGTATTTTAACTTCATAAATATTAATACTCTAACAAACTGTTTAAGAATTCAATGAACATTTTAGGTTTTTAGAATTTTTTTTTTTTGACACAAATCATATTTTACCGGTCTGGTGGTTTTGTTAGGACAGTGTTGCATTCGTTGACAATTATATTGTCAACATTTTTATCCAATACTTCTGGAAGCCCAAATAATCTATTGTTAACTGTGTCAGCAAATACAAGAGGGTCCTGTTCATCCATTTTTGATGCACTTCAAAAACTAGACAAACATTTAATTGTATTAATCTATGTACACGTTTAAATGATTAATATATAATATAAAAAGAAATTTATTGACAACAATAATCATAATAATTGTTAAGCCCATAGACTGAATAGACACATTGTATAAGTATGCAACAAATAATTATAATAACAGTATAACACTAATAAAAACGTATGTTATTGAGGAACAAAAGGTACATACCTATTGTATTTAATCTGATTACCATGTATTCAGATTACTTATTGACTATATGCGAGAAGAAAAAAACAAATGCATCATAAAGCTAATTGATGTTTATAAAATGTTAAGATTAATTATTGTTACTTATATTTATTTCATACATATTAAAATAGTGTAACTGGTCAAATGCCAACTAATTCGTTCAAAAACGATAATCATTTAGTATTAATAATAATTTTAGTGCCCACTGCCAATATACTAGTGTTATCGTTTAGTCTGTACAGAGTACTATTACAACTGTCATTAAAAAACTAAAATAGTAAATTTTATTTAAAAAAAATAATAAAGTAATTAGTACTTTAACATAAAATTGTATTAATAACTTAGAATACTGCGTTCTACCATATTATTATAATAACAACAACAGAATGTTCTAAGGATTGTGATTAGTGATTATTATTGTGAATTGTAACACTATTAGATAAGAGTACCCACCTATTAGAGTATTATCATAGAGTAATGTTAGTCTATGAGTATTATAGCACGAGATACAGGTCACAGACACAACAAACAACAATGTAAATTAATCGAAACCGAATACTACAAAAATCGTTTCGATAGTTCTTACCTACTATCACGGGACAACACTATCGCAAGTTACTACTATCGCGCCCACAAATTAAGGATCCAAAATGTTGAAACATTTAGATAATACGTGAATACGTCAGGCGTGCCGCATACAGCGTGATTCATCAAGCAGGATCACCCCGTTTGCTTTCTTCGGGAATGCAAGTTAATCATAAATCAGATTTTAGGATTTGTAAATACTACCTACACTTTAAGAACAATTTTTTTGTAATTCCCGAGATCTGTTGTATTTACTATTTAAGGAGTACATTGTAACGAACTTCTGTTTACAAATGAGAACTTTTCTTCTATAAATTATTTCGAGGATATTTTTACCGAAAATGTTGTCATATCAAAATCAAAACTTGAATGTGTAGTTGTTGAGTTTTTAAACTTTCCGTACTAATGACGATAGAGATGCATTTTAATTGGTAATGGGTGTATGAGGTCTATGGTGATTTTCAAATAATAATTAGGTACCTATAATAATGATTAACTTTAACATTTAGGTGTAATTTGTAAAAATTGTCAAAATATAATGAATATTAAATAATAGATCCAATATCAAATCTATTTTAGATTTTTGTGAAACTATTGGCTATTATTCTTAGTATAAACATATTTTCACTGATTAAGGTCTGAGAAACTACTTAGTCAATTTTATAAACTACTAACTAGGTACCTACAACCAGGGCCGGCAGCAATGGGGGTATGGTGGGTCGTCACACCCCCCCTGTTGAATTTGTTTGTAATTATCAGTCAGCAATTTCATGGAGCCGTTGTCCGTTAGAAATTATACTTTTTGAAAAAAAAAATGTATATTTAATGGTATAGGAACGGGTCCCGGCAGTCGGCAGTTGAGAATTTACCGATTTAGAAATCTAAATACTGCCGACTGATATTGTCAGCTAAGGAGTAAGGACCCGTATTATAATTTATAATACTATAATATATATTTGTTTTTGTACGTTGTACAACGTTAAGTCCGTCGGCATATCATTGCTAACGCTAATCGGTCCTCCTACAGACCAATAAGTCTATTACCTTTTCTAGGTAAGATACTAGAAAGACTGATACTTAAAAGGCTATTACATTACATTTCTATGTACAAGATTTTACCTGACTCGCAATTTGGTTTTCGCTCAGCTCATAACACAATACACCAGGTACATAGACTAGTTGACGCAATCTCGTGCTCCCTAGAAAACAAGCATTATTGCACTTGTGCCTTTCTCGACATTAGCCAAGCGTTTGATAGAGTTTGGTACGAAGGTTTACTTTTTAAACTAAAAAAATTTCTGTCTCCCTGTTTATATTTATTAATTAAGTCTTATATAAGCGACCGCCATTTTCAAATCCGGTTTGGCTCCTCAGTATCCAAAATCGAGAAAATCTTAGCTGGAGTTCCCCAGGGCGGAATCCTCTCTCCCTTTCTTTTTAATATCTACACTTCTGATCAACCTATCTCACAGAACACTACTGTAGCTGATTACGCGGATGACAAAGCCATCATATCAATTGACAAAAACCCTATTACGGCCTCGGCAAATCTCCAAACTCATCTCAACCTATTGTCTGTATGGTACACCGATTGGCGCATTAAACCTAATCCCACTAAGTCAGTACACACAACATTCACTTTATGCCACTCCATTTGTCCAAATGTCTATTTAAATAACATACTTATTCCCACAGCTGACTCAGTTAGATATCTTGGACTTAACTTGGATAAGCGCCTCACCTGGAATAGCCATATCCGTATAAAACGACTTGCTTTAAACGCCCGTCTTCGCAGACTACGAACGCTACTCACAAATAACAAACACTCCAGTTTAAAAATTAAAGTTCTTATGTATAAAACATTACTCAAACCTCTATGGACATATGGTCTCCAACTATGGGGTACAGCAAAAACGTCCAACACAAACAAAATTCAGCAATTTCAGAATATTGCTCTTCGAAAAATTACTAATGCTCCACCCTTTGTTTCGAATTACACTATACATAATGACCTGTCAATAAAAACTGTGACAGAAGAAGCTATACGTTTCTACAAAATCTTTCATGCCCGGCTGCAAACACACCATAACCCACTCATTAAAAACCTATCCATCCAAACATTACCTGGCAACCCCAGGCGTCGATTAAAAAGGAGATGGTGCCGTGATTTGTTAGGGAACTAATATCAAATATAAAAATTATAAAAATAAAAAATAAAAAAAAAAAAAAAATATATAGCTAGTTTCATACAACCTCCAGTTAAGTGCCATTAGTGGGTGGCTTCTTACTCAAGTACTCATGTATTATATTTTAACTCTTATCAAATATGCTAATTGTGCAAAATTGTACAGATTGTATATATATTGTGTAAAATAAAAAAAAAAAAAAAAACGCTAATCGGCATTCGGAAATCCCTATCTCAAGTACCCGTATATAATCTATTTTGTTAAATAATATGATGTACCTACTGCCATCTGCCGTCTGCTAAATTAAAAAAAATTTTATTATTTACTTATTTTTTTGAGTTATTGACAAACACTGATTGATTTATATTTGTACACGACTTATTTTTTAGATCTTAAAATAGTTTCGACAGCCTTGTATCTTTACATCTGTATGAAATATATGTAAAAAATATTTTAACTATGCATAAAATGGTTTAAAATGTTTTAGTTCTATATTTTGTTTTTGTTTTAACTATTTTACTTCATCTGAACACAGAAAAACCAGGAATTTTTGTACTTCACGTATTTTTTTTTAGAAATTTTGAGTCGGCATAAATTAAATTTAAGTCGGAAATACTTGATCTAACACCCCCCCGACAAAATTCTGTAACGCCGGCCCTGCCTACAACCTACGTCGACAATATTCTCAAAAAAATTACCCACTATCACTAGATTATGTACAGTACAAAAGGGGGCTTCTCATTTGAGAAACAAAAGTGTACGTTACCTAAGGACACGCCATAAGTAGTACAAAAAAGGTCAACATTTTGAAAATATTAATTTTTATTTTATGGGGGGGGGGAGGGATTTGGAAATCAAAACCTACCCACACGAGCAATTAAAACATAGACACAGGGGGCTTTGGCCACCAAACCTACAAGGCCTAATGAATTGATTTTACTATGATACGTGAGTATCTTTTTAACAAATTTTGTTATCTGTGTGCACGATTAGTAGGTAGCCGAAATAATGCTTGGTTTTTCAGCTTCAATATCTTTTCCGGCGGGGAAGAACATCTAGTTGATGGCTTGATGCATAGTGCATACCTATACGGGAGGTCAAAATTTAAAATGTCCAGTAGTATTCAATGGAAAATCATTTTTTACGAAAAACAATTCTGAAGACGATTTGCCAGTTTATAACATTACTTAGTAATTTAGTATATTTTATAATATAATTGCGATTAAAGTAGACAATTTATTTTACTAGTAAGCATTAGTACAATAGTACTACGCTGTAGATTAGATTGATTGTTGGCAAAAGAAAAATACATTTGGAATGGCATTGTGTGTATAAAATATAATATTATAATAATAAACTTTAGATTTTTTGGTTACAGAATAATACCTACTTGCGTGGAACTTACGTTTTAAATTTTCAACTTTAAGCTATAAAATTTAAAAAAATGTTGAATAATATGAATTTTGTCAAAATTTTAACTTTAAATGCTTATCAAAAAAAATAATGCCTATGTATTTTTAATAATTTTCAACTATAGATATTGGAAGCATATCTATATCAGGGGCCTTATATTACATTTAAAAGCTTTTTAACATAACCACTAAAATTTTATTGACGCGTATAGAAAAAAAAACAAAAAAAAAAAATGAAATTTCAAAATATCTTTAAACAGCTCAAAACGAGTCAAAATATTTTGAAAATGTTATCAAGTAAATGAATTGATAATTTAAACATATGGTTATTTATAATAATTATGTACAACAGAAAAAAATCTGACAAAGGAATAAGGATCGCGGTTGAATTAATATTAGTCAAATTGTCATGTGTCAAATATAATTACAAATTATGATAGAATACCTACTCTAAATGTATATGTAGCTACTAGGACTAGGTAATGACTTTTCAGTAATTGTTTATGTTATTTGGTCAAAGTTTAATGTTTGCTCAATTGATACTTGAACAATTAGTAATAAAATATCAACTCAAATGCTCAAAACCAAAGTGTTTTAAATATTTCAACCCTGATTAAATTTTTTATATTTGAATAAATATATATTATTTAATTTGATAGGTGATAAACCATTATTCCATTGTGGCAATGTTATCTGTTTTTGAAAAAAACTGAGGAATTTCAATTCAAACCACCCCTTTTCCATTTTTCTAATTTTTCAGGACAGTTCTTTTATTGTTTCCTAATTTCTAATGATTTAGTTTTTCAATTTTCAAAAGAATGCACTATTTCCTAATTTTTTCTTTTTCTGAAAATCACTGAAGACTCAAATCTGTTATAGCCACCTCAATGCCTAATAAAGACTTAATATAAAACGGTATACTGTATACTGCATGTCTATATGACTGTATGTCAACGTGTTAAATAACGAATGACTGTGTACATAATACATTGTGGTACCAATGAAAGACAAAAAAGAAATATATGTAATTCCCTTTGTAATTCTATCGGTCGTTTGGCCAAGATTAGGTGGTAAATTTATGACAACTTGGCAAATAGCCAACAATTATAGACGCTCATAAAATAAATACGATTTAAAATTCATAAGATTTTTAAAAGTTGAATTACCTACGCAATTTAATGCATTATGTTCAAAGTATGCAAAAAAAGTTGTTGTTCTATTTAGACGAGAATATAATCTAAATCGTGGACATATCTAGCTGACAACCAATGAATTTTGACTTAAGGAAAAAAACATTCAAATTCAAAGAAATCCTAGCTGTACTATAATAATTAATATTTAATAATAAACAAATTATATCATACTAGGTACGTAAATATCACCCCTGACACCTCACATGCAGCTACGCCCGAAAACTCAATCAGCAAATTTCTTGAAGATTTTAGAGCAATAGTTAACCTGTAAACACTTATGCCATTTCCTTTATTAAATCGTTAACTACCTACCATCTTTTCTACCCCCTTATAATATAATATATTAATACCTACCTTACTTTTACATCCTATGATAGTAACCTATATCAGACCAATAAAATCTATTACGTATTTACGTCTAATATGAGTTTATTACAATAATTTTGCTATAGTCATTCTATTTCTGTTTGTTTTTATCATTTTAATTATTGCTATTATTTAGATTATATATAATATAATATACATTATTCCACATTCACTATTCATTGTATAAAGATAATGTTATATTTTTATTGTAAAACATATGTATATACATATATATATATTACAGTTATTTGTCCGATTTTATTAGTCACTGTAAGGTATGCACTTGAAAATTACTGTTAACCTATAATAGTTGAAACTGAGAAGCTCTACAATAAATAATAAATAAAATAAAAACATAACCATTCAAATCGCTATACTATTTTTAAAATAAAATGTAGTTAAAGAAAATTAACTAATTGAAAGTTATTATTTGACTGAAGGCAAAATAAATGTTTTTGGTATGAAACACCTTAATAGTCTTAACAGCGTTAAAAAAAATATTATTAATCTTACTTGTTATTAGTTATTACTAAATGTATTTATTGTATTAAATATTTTAATACCTACCTATGCTAGTATTGTTTTTAGATCATTATCAGATCGCAGCTAGAATGGTGTATAGTTAATTGTACCTATAATGGTCCCAATGTACATAAGATAAAAATCGGAATAAAAATTCAAAATATCAAATTTAAATACAGCATTTTAAATACTATATTTTCAGGTACAAAATATAGTGGTCATGTAGGGTTAAAAACTGTTTTTTAAGAAAGAATAATAAACAGTATTAGATACCAAAAAGCAAAGCTTAATAGTGACATAACATCTTACATCCTTATTTATATTTTATTAACTTAATATAGACAACATGGCATATGCAGGACCTGTATGTCTCACGTTTATTATTGTAAGGCTAAGGCCAAATGGCAAGTACCAATATGTAAGTATATGTAAGTGAACAGTAGTTTTCCAAGATTACCATCACGTGCACCTGAACTACGAGACAGCCCCAAATTTTGGTAAATGTCATTTATAAGTCATAATACACTTTTATGTATAATAACTATTTAGATCAAACCACATTTATTTGTAATATTAAGATCCAAAATACTATTTGTGCTCCCGAGCTACAGTTATAATATATTCAAAAGAAACTAATTTCTTCCCTGAATATACTATATTTAACTGGTCATCCTCAACCATGTTACAGTGATAACAATAATACAACAATATTATATCAATTAAAAACTATTTGCATTAATTAACTAAATTGTGTCATCATACAGTATATTTTTACTTCATAGATGTTGGTCTAACAAAAACTTAATATATAGTAAAAATGTGGTAATAGATAGGTATAAATTAACTTTTTAAATGTAAATATTTAATATACATAACTCTTTGACAAAAATAAATGTGACTTTAAAGTGACTTATCAAAACTTAACTTACAAAATATTACATATCATTGTGATTTTGATTTAGCTCCAAATAAAAATATTTTCTCCATACAAGTAAAATATTAATTATTTTTTACATAAATAATCAGACATAAATTAAAAAAATAAATATGTTTATATTTGTAAATATAAGATTAGATAAAATATATTCTGTATAAAAAATAAATACAAAGTTGTTTGTACAAAATATAAAAGTGTAATTTTGTGGTAAAAAAAATATGTAGCAATGCAAGGCATGTCTAAAAAAAAATCATCATAAAAAAATATAAAACAAATTTATATCACACATTAACTTATATGTATATTTCACTAAAATAATAAATATAATGTAAAGTAACAAAGCTCATAACTTTTGTGAAATTGGATATGTTAAATAAAATATTGATATTTAATACAATCATAAATGAACATTTAAGTTTTATTTTTACAACAGTTTTTTTTTAAAAAAATATTTGTGCGCTAGAATTGATCCAAAATGTATAACTTTAATGATATTAACTTTTAATATTGTTCTTTTGAAAAATATTCAGGAAATATTATATTCCACATCACAGCTGAGCCTGTCAACAACACATAAATGACAAAACACGACCAACATAATTTTTTTTCCCACGGACGGACGTTAAGATTTCGTAAAGTGTACACTCCTACAAGTAGACCAGCAATAGCACCAGCTAAATGTGCAGTATAACCAATCTAAAAATATCATGGTTAGATTAATAGAAATAGCTTCAAGAAAATAAAATATCAATGACATACCTGATTGTCCACATTAACAAAATAGCGATTGTAAATAGATGATCCAAAATCAAAAGTTATTAGAAAAGCAAATACCAAAAGTTGGTAAATAGCACACTCCATTTCAGACCAATTCTGTAAAACAATTGTGTGTAGAACATAAATTAATCATACTCTTAAATTAATATAATATACTTATTTATTTTACATAGTTAATTTAAATTGCATTACAATGATGGAATAAACCAAAAATAGTTTAAACTAAATTCAGTACTCACAATAATTATAGTAGCTACATGTGCTGTGATCAAAGCATAAACACCTCCAGAAGCACCAGCCAAATAAACTGAGGGATCAGTTACTGACGTAGCTAGGGAACCAGCTAAAACTCCGGATAAATAAATTAACACAACTCTCCAACCACGATGAACCATCTCCAATGGTACTCCAAGTAATAGTTGAACAATTAAATTTACTGTCAAATGAGTCTGTCTGAAAATAAGAAGTAACATGTTTTTCAATTATAGCCAATAATAACTTATATGTATGATATTATCATAAGTTGGAATTTTATATACCAGTGGCGCAACTAAGACGACCTAAGAGTAGGGTCCAAAAATGACACATTTTTCTTAGCAGAATTAAATACATTTAATGAATATTTTACATGCAATATTCAAACATAATAATTATTACAAAAAAAAACAGAAGTTTTAGAAATTTAAATTTTAGTATCTAATTTGTTGCATCTTGTGTGACTAGAAACTTTGTATTATAATTTATAAATGATAAAATATACAGGAAAAAAATTCAAATTAATTACACTCTTTTGCATTAATTTTATCCTCAAGGGGTGGAGGGAAGTCTAAATGTGAAGTCCACCTCCTTGGTTGCGCCACTGATAAGAATTACTTAAGTTTGTAAAAAAAACTTACCCAACATGTACAAACATATAGGTCAAAAATCGCCAAGCTTCACGTCTACGATGAGGATTGTAAATAAACGTTGAAGCCATAGGGCCTTGGATTGACTCGGTTGTTTTCAATTTTAAAACATCCCAAGTGAAAAATAGTACCTATGTATAAAAAAAATAAAGTAGTAATTAATAAATTTATAATAATGTTAATATTTATAATTGGTTTATGGAATTTCATATAAATTTTGCATAACTAATAGCGCCTAGGTATACATTAATTTGTCTAGTTTACATTAATTGTTACATTAGAAATAATATTTAATTGAAGTTTTAAGGCAGCGGTTCCCAAACTTTTTTGGGCTGTTTTTTTGAAATGAGAGTTTTATAGTACGCCCTTCTCTAAGTCATAGCTTGACAAATCATAAGAAGTAGTACAAAATTCTACGGCAGAGCAGTGCCCCTGTAAAGACACTGTGGCACACACTTTGGAAATAGCTGCCATAAAAAGATGCCATACAGATATTACAGTTTCAGACCTATATATTGTACAAATCAATATCACTAAATATTATAATAAAATAACATAATTTACAAAATAGGGAACATTTTTATTTTTTAATTTATTCTACTTTATTTTTATTGGTAACATTTACTTACTTCAATTAGACTAACAATAACCATACATAATGCTGGTGGATTGCAAGAGTATTCATCTTCATAATCCCCATCTGTATGATCCACTCCTGCAGTCCGCAATCTAGGAGGACCTCTTGGTACAATTGTGTAATGGATGTATTTGTTAAACAAATTTGTAGTCAAACTTTTAGCTACAGGTTCTTCTTCCATCTGAACATTTTAAAAATCATGAATTTATAATTTTTGCAAAGTATTCATAAAATATAAATGATTTTACTAACCAAATGTAAAAATTCTCTAAAATTTATATATCCATCTTGATCGTGATCAGCTTTCTGTGCAATCATTGCCAAAATTTTAGGAGGTATATTGTATTGTTCACCAGCTCCTTGTTGTAAGACATGATGCAACTGGTTAATAGATATTTTACCATCACGATTTCTGTCAAACTAATAAAATTTTCAAATACAATATAAATATTTGAAAAAAATAAAAACAAAGTTTTCAATTAATACTTACGCGGTTAAATAACATTTCCCATTGCTGAAAAAACAAATCATAACCAATTAAATTAGGGTAAAAAATATCTTAATAACGATGTACAGTTTAAATAAATAAAACAATACACCCAAATTAAAAACAATAATTTTCACATAGGTATTGGCATAAGTGTTCATTATTAAGATTATAATAAATGTATGAGTAATCAATAAAAATTTAAAAAGTGTACATGCAACTAAGGGAGAAGACAATGTCATTGTATTGTTCGGGTCTTAAATTTGCTAATTTCTAAATACCACTTTGTTACGAGTTGTAAAACTATTTACATCAATTTATGTCATTCAATATAAGTTATAAATTGTAATGATTAATGGTACAAACAATTTTCAGATGATAAAATGTACTAACTCTCTAAGAATTATTAATATAATATTTTAAAATCTCATTAGGTAACTAATTAAATGTAACTGTCAATTTTGAAATAATAGAACTGCATAAGCTTATATATTTTTTTAGAGTATATTATTGAATTTTATGTTGGTCTTATTTTTAATTTTAATTTAAAAATGTTCTCCATATTATTAATAAGTAAATTGCATTTAAAGCATAGTTTATAATCAACACTTCTGGTTAGGATTTTGAATTTGACTATCAAGTCTTGTTTGATATCAGCATTTTAATTTTGCATAATATACATTTGTAGATTTGAAAATGAAATAAAATGGATATTTTCGTTTTACAATGATTTGTGTTTTTTATGGTTATATTATGAATAATAATAATATTATCAATAATTTATAATTATTGTAATTAGTGAATAAATACTACATAAGAGCTAGTAAAACCACAATAATGAGTAATGACTTAATAGTTACGTACTGTCACTTCAAATTAAAAATGTATAGTCTGCACAAAAGAAATAGTTTAGGAATGAGTCACCATAACAGTAAACAGCAGTTCAAATGTTGTATGGTTAGCTTGAAGTATGCTGATTTATTAACAACCCTAAAGGTAAGAACATCATCATGTATGTTACTGTTCTCTCATTGGTTTTTAACAATATTTTTATTTTTAATTAAATTATGAACATCTTTAAATATTAATGCTTTACATACTCATCTAACTCTATACAAATTGAAATATCTTAAAAATATATCAAGTGAACACAGATAATGCATACACCTTTAGAATTGATAAATAGTCAATCTATTCTAGTCTCTAATATTTAAGCCAACAACACAAAATTGGAATCGCTGAAATTCCATTTTGGTATACTCTTTAGTAATAACTAATAAGTAAGACGGAGACAATAAATGCAGATAAATCCAAAGATAAATTTTAATATTTTAATATGTATAATCGGTATAATATACAAAATTCAAATGTACAATTTTCAATAAAAGCCACATATGAAAGAAAAATTCTAGAACACAGCCTTAGTAAAATTTGATTGAAGCTTGCATATTTTTAGTATTTACCATGGGAATTTTCAATTATAACTGCTACAAAAATTCGATCTAAAAACCAAAGTTTTACTAATAAGTCAATCATCACAAGATTTAAAACAATAGTATTTAAATTTAACTCAAGTCATACCCTAAATAAGTAGGTACTTAGTACTTACAGATGTATGAATATGAAATATTATTTTAGCGTATAAGTTCAATAAGTCTCTCAGACATAATTTCTACGGACTACAGTACTATATTACTGTGACGAATACCTACTGTTCAGAAGGCTGTTGATTTAATTTATCTAAAAATAATAGGTAAATAAACCATAATAATAATTACCGATTCGACACTGTCCAGTGGTATGCTCTGGAATTGCTGTTGTTGCTGTTGCTGATGAGCAGACATTTTCGACAAGTAGGCACGGAAAGACACAAAAAGGTAGGTAATAAAAAAAAAGTAAATACTGTCGTTTGGCGAGAGCCGAGTGCCGACAGATCGAAATTAATAATAATTACATTCCGCTTTCAAACTATTCGTTGACAATGATCTCACAACCGATTTGATTGCTTATCGGGCAATGTAAACAAAATATTTTGTAAAAAACAGTCGTCGCTCTATGGTCGTAAACCTGACGGTTGACGACAGTCATACAACTTGACGGCATACATAATAATACCGTAGAACCACAGTAGAACCAGCAGCAGCTGCCTACGATAGTAGCACGCGTTCACGCCGGTAAGAGAGAAGACCGCGGCACCGCGCATAATACCGTTTTGTGGATGTGGAACGTATGTTTATATATCTGTGATGTGGAACCAACAAAAGTGTAGGTATTTCGCTTAACTCCCACCTCAAAATTGTGTCAATATTTCATTGCATTTTAAACGCTTTTAAAAATAAGTTGTGCCTGTATGTTTTCGGTGTTCCTAAATTGCTAATTGCTAGGACAGCTCACGGGGAACCTTATCCTGCCGCGGATTGTATTATTATGTTTTAAAACCCTTAGACTTACGTTCCACTTTTTTTTGCATAGAAAACAACTAAAATATATATATATATATATTTATAGAACATTTATTAGTCTATTTATTTTGGAAATTGAATCGTGTATAGATAATGGTAGGTAATACCTAGAGAAGACGCGTATAGAGACTATAGAGAGCTTTAATATTACCTATATGACCTCATAAAGTGTTCGAAACTTTTATAGTACTATAGTAGGTACCTACAACCTACATCAAATGAAATCTTGTCGGTAAATATCAATTCAACTTACAGTTTTAGTAAATATTAGCAGTAAATAAATTACTTTAATAGCAATAATATCATAAAATAATCTTAGTAATGTGTCCTTCGCTCTGGATCGTTTTTCGTACCACAATGATTTTATAGGTGGGTATCATTGAATTCAAGTTGAACACATCGATTACAGTGACCCATGCGGCACATGTGACACTTAATGTACAGCCGAGTGGTCCCCCTTGCCCACTTATTTTATTATTAAACTTCATAATGTTCTTCATAATGGTAGGTACCTACACATGAACCCTGCCGAGGTGATGATGACGGTGACATTCGGGCCGGCGAGCTCACTGATAGTAGCAATTAAAAAACATAATCGGAACCAGTGGCATACAGCCGGGGGGGGGGGGAGGGGGACGTTAGGTTAGGTTGTTTTATAAATTTGGTGCATCGTTATGAAAATATCGTTAATTGCAGTGAACAAGAAAGTATCGGAGAACTTAGATCATGGTGGAAATATGTAAGCCTGCAAATGAATGAAAATCCTATAAATATGCCCATTCAGTTAGAACTATAACTAGGTATGCATTACATGTAGCTATATAGGTATGTGATTAAAAATTATTTCCAATTGTACGAAAACTTCTAGTTATTCTTGATACTTTATCAGTTACGAAGGCCAACCTCGGAACGACTTTTCGAGTCTTTGACTATTCAAAACCTATATACGAAATACAACCGGAGAATTTCGATGAAATGGATTAGCATTGTTAAATTTTAATCAGAGTATTGAAATCTCAGCAGACGCCGCTGTACTTGATGAATCATCAAGCCGAATTAATATTAAGTTGTAACGTTTTCTTAGACCATAAAATATACATTTTTTAAAATTGAATTGTGCTATGACCTTAAATATAAGAATAAAATTTTATAAACATTTTTTTATGTATACATATATGTATTTAAACGGTAACCTCCTCCCCCCGTAAACGAATTCTGCGTACGCTAGTTCGGAACACAATTTAGTATTTACTGGCCCAGCGGCAGTGTGAGGGGGGCCTCAAAGCAAATTGTTCTTGCACGATGCATCAACTATAAAAATCAGTTATTCGTCCACTGTAGATCTAGATACACACTCTCGACTCACCCCATTAGAACGATGAGCGGTCTCTCCTGGTATTTTTATAACAAGAACACTTGTAAAGTTGGTGAGTGTGAGTACTAAACTACTAATTTTACTAATTTGAAATTTCTACTAATAATTTTGTCACATAATCTGTCCTGCAGTGAGTTGTGAGTAGCTAACTCAATCATCAATTTATCAGAATAACTGAACAATAACACACATTACTTACATTGTATTTTTTTATTTACTTCGATACAATTACCTACCTACTTGGGTAATACAGTTATACACCAATAACACCGATTGTAATTTTTTGGACAATTTATCAAAATAATAAACAGCAATTTAAAATGTTTTAATAGTTAGGTGTATTTAATATTTATGTACTTAAATCTCATTTTTTTGTACTATAGGTAAGTATACTTCAAAAACCTTAACCTAACTGATATCTGTATAAATTTTCATATGTAAAAAAATATAGGTACAAGCCTTAATTTAGGTTAATTTTTCCACGGCCATAATAGTGACAGCCTGACAGACGACATTTCGTAAAATTACACATATATAGGAATCCCCGATCAACGCGTTGACGTTATTGACTAGACGTAAACCCACCATGGCCTAAGCTTCGAGTTTGCGCTTCGCGACGTCCGGGCTCTCGATGTCGCTTGTCGCCAACCGTTTGATGCTGTTGTCGCCGTTGAGTTTCTTACCATTGAACGGTTCCGTGTTGAAGTATTCCTTTTCGAACGTGAACAGGAAGTAATTGTCGGACACAGGCACGGTCACTTTGAACCGGTCTGAAAACGGTCGGCCGGGCAGCGGCGCCTGGTAGTCCGCGATAAGAGTTCTGACGGGCGAGTTCGGCGCCGAATCCTTCCACGCCCGCAGCGAGACTACGTGACCACCATCGGCGTGGACGTAGGCCAGCCCGTACGAGGCCTTACTTCCCGGGGCGATGGCCGCGTCCAGGTGGCCCATCAGGGCTGTGCGATCAGTGAACTGGCGGAACGTGGTGCCCGACAGCCCGATCCGCTTAAACACGTCCACCATGGTGGCCACGGACGCGGCGTTCCAGACGCTCATGGGCTTGATGCGGTATGCTGTCGTCAGAGTGCTCACCGAGCAACCCTTGAACGCGGCCGCCGTGCAGAAGTAGCAGTTTGTCGTGCCGCCCACGTCGTTGATGACGCGGAAGTCTGTTTGACGGACCCGGTCCAGGTACTTGACGTCCAGGCCGGTCAACGGTGTGAACCACCGCCGGCCGTCGCCGCCGCCCGCCAGACGCGACACTTCCAACGCCGTCTTGTCGAACTGTGCCGGGTGCAGGTTCCGCTCCACCATCGGACTGTCCAAGTCGACCGCGATTGACATGAACGGCTTGTCACCGGGCTTAGGCCGTAGCGCCTCGTACTCGGCTGCGTCGTCCAGGAACCGCGAAGGCCGGTCCACCTCCAGCTCGAACTTGTTTATCTCCACGCCGTCCTTAACCACTACCCGGTCCGCGTGCACCTCTACGCCATCCCTGACGATGGTGGTCACGCCCGGCCGCGTTCGGCTGCCTTCACCAGCGCCAAACGTGGGCGTCGGATCGTCGCCTGCCGTTCGCAGCGGCTTGTACTGAGGTTTCGTAGCGGCAGACGGTGACTTGCCGCTACTTTTTTTCGCCACCATGCCACCGGCCACGTCAGCGCCCACGCCCGTGATCACGTCAAAGTGTTCGCCGACAGACTTCTTCTCGATGTTCATCAGATAGTCAACCATGCCGTAGGGCTTGATTTGCGGATCGTCGTCGTTGGCAGCCGCGACTGCTGTGTCGATGTTCGTTATAATCACGTCCGTGGCCAGGCCGCCGGCGACCGCACCCGCCGGTCCGCCCAGTACACCGCCGACCACGGCGCCGGTGGTGCTAGTCGCGCCCCGGATGATGTCCAGCCCGCGTTCCTTGTCGCCGGCGATCATGTGTATGCCGCCCTTGATGTGGCCGACTACCGGCGTGCCGTCCACCAGCGTTTCGGCGTTTTTCAAAAAGTGGATCTGTGTGCGCCGCGCCGCCTCCTCGTCGCCGGTGGCCGCCTCCACGGCTGACTTGATCTGCGACACCACTGGCATCTGGTTGGCGAAGTTGATCTGCGTCTGCCGCGCCGCCTCGGAGTCGCCGGCAATCGCCTGTACGGCCGATTTCACCTGCGACACCACCGGAATGGTGTCCCAGAAACTGGTGTCTACCGCCGGCCCCTGCTGCAGGAGCAGGACCACGCACAGGCACGCGCCTGTCGACCACATCATCGCCGTGACGGGTGAGTGGCTGATCTAAGGAAATCAGCTATATACGAACAATTTGATATCGCCACAAAGGCTCGCGAGTTTCGCAGTTACGACTGACACTCGAACATTAGACTGCGAGCCCGACACATGTGCACTGTGCTTTTAAACGATGAGCGCGGTGGGCCAAAGGTCGCCCGCCACTGACAACAACGCACTGTATCTATCCATCATTTAAAGGCTAAATGTTATTGTATACTATAACAGGCTAAAGGCTATACTGTAGTGACGCATAGTAGCCAAAGAAATAATTATGCAACGGGATTTCCGCATGTCGTGACTTTCATTCGTTCGAGTTGTGAGCAAACGGATCAGAGGTTATCCATCATAGGTGTACCTATAACTACAGTCTAGTGATTGAAAGAAACTTTTATCTTATAGTGGAATGTTTTTATTTTTTTAAAGGCTAATAAGGTTGTTACTCAGTGCAGCTGCAGTAATACATTATACGACGTTTGTGATTGTGATATTTGCAAGTCGTAGTAAGCCCATATTCGTTTACGATGATTTACTCATCAGTCATTACTCATCGTACGGAATACGCGGGCTGCACAGAGTTGGCCACGCCTTTTTGTTTGAATTCGTGTTATCTATATACGATGCGAAAACATTTATATCTTATGACTCACCTACGCCATCGGCTTTGACAGCTACGGTGTCAGGACTACCTACAAGAGTAACAAGACATTCATAATGCATTTAAGCATGCGGTACATATGGGGCCGTCCAGAACAGGGGTGATGAGGTTGTCATATCCCTCCCCTCCCCCCTTGGCACATTTTTGTCATGTAAAATATATGATAAACCAATTAATGTATATATTATATAATAACATGGTCTGAGAATAGTCAACAATTTATATCCCTTCCTTTCAAAAAAGCTGAGCACGTCACTGGCACCAGATGACAAAACATAGTAAGAAGAGGGAATAGTAGAACATACAATTTGCAACTAGTAACTACATTTTAGTTTTAAAAATAGTTATCTGCACATTGGAGGCCAACTATTTTTATTTAGTTATTGCGTTATTCGGAGAATTCGACAAAAAAAAAAAACAATTAAATTGGATTATTCAATATCGAGTACACAACTAGAAAAATAGCCCGTCCGTAAAAGAAAAAATTAGAGGGAAATAGCCGTCTGTACGTATTTTGTACACATACCGCGACGCGGCGCTCGTCCCCAACGTTGTAATCAAGAATTGATAGTGCCACAGAATATGTGAAGTTAAAATTATAATCAAATATAATACTTATAACACTTATAAAACAAAATCTTATATTATGTACTTAGCTAGTTACTTTTTTAATAACAAAATAATCTAAGTAAATACAAAATACTTTTCGTGTTTTACTCAACCTAATTAAGAGTGATAAAGGAATCACACTGAAAATATGTCAATATTAAATTGGCAACATATTTTTCTAAGCTGTTAATTGTTATTCATTTCCAGAAATCTTCATGGTGTGTGGTGACTCAAGGGGTTATGCAAAAACAGGTTTGAAAAAAGTGTCATTTTTTGGAGAAATTTATAGATAAATAAGACTTGAATGGTAACTTATAATCAATGTTGTTAAAAATATTTTTCAAAAGTATTTCAAATAGGTATTTAAATACTTCAATTAAAAAGTATTTAAATATTTATTTAAATACCTTTGCTAATAAATATTTAAATACAAATACAAATATATTCAAAAAGTATTTCAAATATTTTTAAATACATTTTTTAAGCTTTATTATTTTCTAATTCTTAATTCTTAAAACTAATTATTTGTTTAATGTGTATTGAATATAGTAGACTATTGTAGGTTTATATAGAATTCCTTTATATATAAAAAATTGTGTTTTAAAATGTATTAGTTCATTTTCCATACTAGTTAAGTCTTTAATATAAAAATTAAAAATATACTGCGTATTTTAAAACAATTATATTACAATTATAAACAATTATCTATACCTATAGTATATAGTCAGGACTCACGGCGGTGTGCAAACAATAATATTACAACGATTGACAACTATAGTGTCTTATAGTGACTGGACGATTAACAAATAACAATTAACAAGTGCGGAGTGACGGTGTGTGTGTGTGTGTGTGTGTGTATGTGGGATACTGGGATTCGGGGTGTTGCCGTGCTATGATACTATGAACTATAAATAGCCAAATAGTCATTAGATATATGATATACGGGAAATATTATTTTTCCCGTAATATCTTTGTTTGTCGATAACATTTATAATCGTCATGTCTTTTCATCGACGATAAGCAATTTTTTCGTAATCGATAAACGAAACTAAATAGTAAATAATAAAATAATATCTTGTTTGAAAATTTTGTATTTAATATTTTTAAATACAAAATATAATAATATGTATTTGAAATATACTTGAAATACTTCTGTCTAAAAGTATTTAAAATGTATTTAAAATACAGAAAAAGTATTTAAATACTAGTATTTAAATATTAGTATTTAAATATTTAACAAGTATGCTTATAATTTATAACTATGTATATTAATTTAACTAAAGTACTAATTATGTATAGGTTCTGTTTGCATTTTTACACATTCACCAATGTGACTTGAAAAAAAAACAGAAATCCATCAATCCATCCTGCTTTATTTTTTGAATATTTTACACCATTTCTTTATACATTTCAAATACATAATATTTAATTCGTTCAAAAAGTTTAACAATAGTGGGCACATCTATAGATTAGTTAGGTGAAAAAATTATACATTTTTCCACCATTGGGAACTGAGTTCCTACAGCAGGTGTGCCCAACTCTCGGCAATAAAGCACTAGTACACAATGTAAACAAAATTGAGCAAACTGTAATAAATCAGGTCCAAAAATATCAATGTACTATGAAGTACCTGTACGGCTATACAAATACGGCTGCACTTACTGACGGTGATCACAATATATTATTTTAAATTTTAATACATGCCTATGTATTATATTAATGACTATAAATCAAACACTAAGACCAACTATGGTTCATGTCTAGAATCTCGACAAAATATGATCACATTAAATCTTGTTTTCATTCTAAACTTTTTCAAATTTACTAAAATACTACTACCGCATTTTAAACAGCCGATCTACATTTTAATCAAATATATTAGGCATTATAAAATATTATTATTAGAATCTTCGCATTTTAATTGTTTTAAATAGTTTATTCACCAATCGATTGCAGAATAAATTTGTGTTCTGTAAATAACTTATCTTTATTTTTTTTTAAATTACAATATGTAACGCATTTTTACACAATGAAATACTGAGTACATCCAATAACTTGATACATCATAATTTATACATGTACGGACAAGAACGGTTAGCGGTAAAACAAAACAAAAATCGTGAGGAGAGCCAACTAAAGTTGCAGACGGAAAGCGACGGACGTAAGTACGAAGCCAAAAGAAAATGGTGCGAAATCAACGGGTCCGCTAAGTCCAACGAACGGGCGCGTTTTGTACAACTCTGACCGCGAATAACACATCTACACAGTTACACGACTATCGTGGACACTAGCGGAGACCATATTTTATTTTATATTGTAGAGTTGTCATTTTGTCAACTAAAAATGCCACTTTTGGCTAACCGTAAACGAATTATTACTGAACCATATATTGAGATGTAAGAATATTACAATCGGCATTTTAAATACACATAATATGTAATGTCAATGTGTTTGGAAATTAATTAGCCATGTACCTATTTTATTTTCAATGTCGAACAATATTATAATATTATATTTTGTTGTCTGCTAATTCGAAAAATAAAAATTTGTTATTTACAGCACACTTGTTTATTCAATTTACTGTTGTTGGTGTATGTATTATATAAAACAATTAAAATACGACGATTCAAATAATCTATTATATAATACCTAAAATATTTAATTCAAATACGATAGCATAATAATTGTAGTAAATTATTGTAGTAAATTTAAAAAAAATGTAGAATGAAAACAAAATTGAATGTGCTCTTATTTTGTTGATATTTTTGACATGAACCATCATAGTTAGTTTTAATATGAGTGTTAAATTGTTAGTGTTTGATATTGTAGTCACAACTATAGGTATATAAGAAAACAATATATTGTGGTCACCGTTAGTAAATGTGTTTTTTTTTAGTCGAATTTTGGCTTATAACTCGAATTTATATAATAATATATGTACATTTTAAATTGGAGACGAGATTTTTTCAGCGCTAAACCGTTATTGAAAACTTTATAAATAGGTAAAACAATAAAAAAACTATCAAAAATATCTGATTTCTTTAAAAAATAGTTCTACTTTATAGTTTATTAATTACAATGTATTTTCTTTTTTACATACAATTTATACACACTACATACATATTTATTACTTTATATTCTTTTATAGAATACTTTTTTTTTAATTTTATTAAATTTTTATAATATAAATACCTACATACATTATACATTTACTATTAAACTAGCTGAATTACCCGGCGTTGCCCGGAAACAAAATCGTGACAAATAAGATAACGCCATGTATTACCATTTACCGTCTTGAATTAATGAATTCATAATTATCGATAAGACATAAGGTTAGGATACTAAACTTAAAAAGTAGTTTTTATTATTTTGGAAAAATGCTACATAACTACCGATTAACCAATATTTCTTCATAAACTATATTATTAGTTTTTTCACCAGGGGCACATATGTATAAGTTTTTTTCTGAGCTTACACGGGAGCAGGCAACATAAAATTGTCCGTGAGTGAAGGCAAGGATCGCTGATGTCAATTCCTGCAACTTTCATTGTCTGTCCTTGTGCCTTATTAATTGACATAGCAAAACAAAGTTTAACTGGAAATTGGACACGTTTAAATTCGAAGGGGTACTCGTTTGTTATCATTGGTATTCTTGGGATATATACAATTTGACCATTCGCTGAGCCGGTAACAATTTCAGCTTCAATGTAGTTTTTTTTCAAAGATAATATTTTTAACTTCGTTCCATTGTACAATTTGGGAGCATTTAAATTTCGCATGAGAATAATAGGCGCACCGATTTTTAAACCAAGTTTGTGTGTGCGTGTGTGGGGGGGGGGAGACCTGATGGATTTAATGAGTTAAGAAATTCAGTCGGGATATCTATAGCTTCATCTTGATTAGTAAGTGTACCTATCTAAGGAAATATAGTTTTTTTTATCAGCTTCGAACATGAAAAGAACTTTTTCGTTTATGATGTTAACGGTGTCGTTTTTAGGAGCCAAAATTGCACGTTCACGGAGCCATTCATTGGATTTATTGGAAAGATGAGAACTTTCTGGATAAACTTTGTCGATTAAGTTATTTTTATCAAGAACCGAAATCGCAAATGTAGAATTTATGTATATCATGCTTTCCTCATCATTCTGAAAAGTTCAGCCACCAATTTTCAAAAGATGTTGTTAGAAGAGCTCGGCATTATTATCACCACCAAGGTGTACACGCATATTGGTTGTTAATCTCAAAGATGTTATGTAAGACCAAAGACATGATGACTTTAGACCGGCGTTGATTTCATCGCTTTTAATGCCTTTAGGCACAACTGGCAATACTTGTCTAAGGTCACCAGCAAAAAGAATAACAACTCCGCCCGTTGGGCGATCATTATTTTTAAAATCCCTTAGCATTCTATCAAGTGCCTCAGGACCACATTTAATACGCGGTGGGTCCATCCATAGTATATGATCTAAGTTTTCCATTAGCAACGAATAACGATATGAACTATCACGTCGCGCAACGGTGATATGGAAAGGGAAGTTTGGGCGGCCACGTCTAGCCGCCGTCCGTTGTCGTACCGCGAACCTCATCCGGTAAGTCAACATAACAGGTCATTATTTATGATAGTTGATAACTCCTTTGTTTTTAAATGCCATAAACCTTCTCCGCAATGAGCTCTTCAATTTAAAAAAAAAAATCATAACGATCGGTTCAGTAGTTTCCGAGAACATATCACTCAAAGGTTTTCATTTTCACATTTATATATTAGATAGATATGTACATGAATAAATAAAATTATAAAATAAAGTACCTACATATTGTGTTTTCAAATGAAAAAAATTTTTTCAATAACTCGAATTTTTTTGCCGATTCGAGTTATCGAGGTTCCACTGTACATATATATTAGGTATACATCAATCATGTTAACAAAGTTACATTTTTTCCTCAATTATTACAAATGTTGTGGCATTAAAGTTTGATCTTGAAACCACATAAAATATTTAATTATTAAATTTCATATATTCTGTGATAGTACCGTCCGCTCTATCCTAAGCAGAGGATCGTGTCTGACACGGCGTTCGTTCCGTTTTATATTCTTACATTACCATGGTAATGCGACATAAATTTCACAAATCGCAAAAATAAAGCACAATAAAATAAACACACCGAGGAAAAAAAGACCAGAAAAAAAATTAAATATAAATGTGAACACAATATGTGTAGTGTATACTCTACTCTTAATTAGTAATTACCATATGGCGTATTGGTACATACCTATAACAAAATATTATAATATATTATAATGAAAATAATGTCATAAATTATTATCATGTGTAAGTTTTGTATAAATGTAGTGTATAATATATACTTAAGATGTTATACTTATACAGTTATACACCTGATGTTTTTTACTTATAACTTAACACTATATATTATCTATAGATGAGTTCATATTTAAATTCAAATTTTTTTTATATATAAATAATAGTTAAGCATAAGCCATTTTGCCATATTCAGACATACAATTATTTATATTTGACATTTTTCATTGAATAAATATGTAAAAAAATTCTTATCAATTGAGTCTCCACACATAAAAGTGCCCATAATGGTTAAAATAATTTATGAATTATTTATTACTAATTAGGAGTAGAGTGTTTAGGTACATGCGTGTTTTTCCACCTACCCAATTTCACATATTGAGCTCTTGTAATATCATTTTTTTCACTGCTCAACAATATGTTCATCTGTTGAAATTATTCACAAAGGTATTATGGCCACAATTTAAAATTGTCAAACAATCCACCCTTGTGTGGAGGTACCACAATAAAAAAAAAATGATTTCTGAGGGTGTCTTCTTGACTATGGATAAGATGTATATTTTGTTAATAATTCTTGTAGGGTTAACAAAAAAGATAAATCATAAGAATAATACTATTGACTTTTCATATATTAAAATCAAGGATGAGGAGATAGGGTGTAGGGAGTTAGGCACTAACCCGTGCCACCTTTTAATGACGGCCATGGTTTGGCATTAATTTTATTTATGTAACATAACTCACTAAAATTTGATTAATAGAAGAATAGATGTGAATGATACTTAATATTAAGAAATAGTACTAGATTTCTTGTTATGTAAATAATTTATTAATCACAAATTGTAACAAACAAAATAAAAATTAAGTGAAACAACCACAATAATAGGTACTTCTACATACAGAAAAAATAAAAATTAGTCATTACTACTTGCTATTGAAATATATAATACTACTATAACAGTAACTGAATAAAATAAACTACAATAAATAGATATAACATTTATAATGTATTTATTTAAGTATTATCTTTTCAGGTACTCTTAAAATTGAAATATTATACATGCCATTATAAAATTAAATATTAATTAGGTACATATTATATTACTTATAGCTTATACTTAGAACTACTAATCTAGTGACAACCATGTCCTATTGTTATGAATTTTTAATTATTTCAAAATAATGGTGGTGAACTACTGTACTAATATTATTCAAATAAACATCCATCAAATTAAAATTTATAATATTTTGCATTAAAATTTCAAAGTTTTAGTGGTTTTTGAAAAATATTCAATTCAATACTAATCGATACATTACATTTTTTCAATATTTAGGAACTTGTATAATCATTCTATTAGAGAAATTGCAAGGAAGACTTAAAAATTTTAGTTTGCACTGCCATTTATAAATATATTAATAATAATTAATACTATATGATCACAGCTACCATATTTGCAAAAAGATCAAATACTTGATGGGTAAAATCTATTTTGTTCGACTTATATTCATAGATATAATTTATATATATATTATAACAATATTATATGATTATGATAATTTTTAGTTATGTGATATAGAAACTTAAGAAAGTATTAATGATTATGGCCTTACTTTAATAGCAACAACAATTTTTACATTTTGCGAAAGTACACAAATATTATGATAACTGCTGAAGACAATATTATTTGATAAGTGAGAGGTTAAACTTATATTAAAAACGATTCAGATAAAATTCAACAAAATAAAAATGTGATTAATTATTCTATTATATATATAATATACTAATATTTATATTGTTAAGTATGTGTTAGTAGCTAAACTAACATAATGATGCAATAATGTTTGGTTAAAAAATTATGTACAGAGTGCTCTTTATGTTTGCAATTCTATAATGAACTTGCCCACCTCCAGTTTAAACTTTTAATACTTAGATACCTAATTATTTTAATACTAGATGGAAATAAGTAATTTAACTTTTAAAATACTTACAAAATCTTATCATGGATTTTTAAAAAAACTATAATAACATTTTTTTTTTGTTCAGTTTATGTAAACTAAACTACATTATAATCCATCATAACCGTGGCTTTCTAATTCATTTATTAGTTTTCAAAAATATTAACTAGATATAAAGTTATACATTTGAAAAAAAAACATTAAAATGGTTATATACTCTGTATTTGATGTGGATGGTATTAGTTATTATACATTTCAAGAGTGATAATAATAGTGTATAAGTTTCAAATATTTTATAACATGTTTTAAATCATTGGTTCATAACAATTATTCAATTATCAACATAGTTTTTTCTGTCATAGATAGACAGATGAGTAGTTGATAGTTTTTTTTTTTATACTTAGAGGAATGATTAACAATGAAACCCATAAGCCCAAAAGAAAATGAGTTAATGGAGTAAATTACACATAGACAATGAATTGCATTCTGATTAGGCATAAAGTATAGATCCATTCAAACTTAACATATTTATTCGTCAACTTAGAAGTTTAGTGCCAGGTTGCACGAACAACCACTAAACATCTACGGAATCAAAAGTGAGCTAATGGTCCCTCAAACATGATTTAGTGGCCCATTAAAGTTCATTAAAGCGTTAGATTAATTAATTTTTATGAAACCCGGCATAGATGTTCGACATTATAAGAAAAATATTATTTTGCCTAAACATTAAAATTTACAGTTAGGTGCAATATTTTATTTTGTCTATAAACTTTCAATTGTATTGATCTAAAAAAGGTATACTCAATATTTAATGTAATAAAATGTTAATCACAGGCAAAACGTTTAATTCATAACAGAAATAAATAATATTAATAAAAATAAAACAATGATAATAAATAAAAATAAAAACTAAAAAAATAGTAACAGAATACTTGTTCAATTTTGTTCGGAATAATACTATAATCACAGGATAATAAATCAATACTGTATAGTATAATACTTTTGTCAGCAACTCATGAATAGCACAAAAATGACAATTGTTTTCTTCAAAAGTGTCCATAAGTACTTTGATAGCTCATAAGATAAGTATCATAAGTGCATGATATTAAATTGACATAAAGTCAAAGTGTGATTTGAAAAAGTTAATTTTCATAGAACTTAAAAAAATTATAATTTTTAAGTGTTATACATGTTTTAAATGAAAAATCACTAGCATAGGTAAATAATAAAGTGTTAAATAAAATGATTTTTTGTTGTTCAAGCCTCATATGAGTTGTATGACAAGTGTGAATAAGTAAGCTACCTTTAAATTGACCCCATCAGTTTAATTCGTTTTCTTCAGTGTTTAGAAACTTAATTGCTTATAGACGTTTATCAATAGCAGCAGCTTCTTGCATCCATTGTTCAATTTCATGTCTATACATTCGTCGCTGTAATACTTGACGATTTCTTGGTCGACTTCCCAAAAATGATATTTTACCCTAAAAATTTTAAAATCACACTATTACTACATATTTTAAATAAAATTAGTATTTATATAAGCACTTACAACTCCAACAAACATATCTGATCTATACTTTTGCAATGCTTGGAAATCTTTTACATAATTCATAACATCTTCCCACTTTAATTCAATTTCCTCGTGGAGCAATTTTTCCTCTACATTAAGTTTAGTTATTTAAAATTAACATTGCATACTGATATCATTAAAAATAATTATTACCATCTCGTTTAGTAGTTTGCTTTTTATATTGAATTCTGAACCTGAAAGCTTCAAGAACAGATGCAACAACTATAGTTAATACAACCATAGTGAAGAGATAAAATAATACAAAGTATGCTCGACTGGCAGCATGAACTTTTGTTGCATATCCATTCATCACAACAAACCAGTTATTGACAACCGTTAATTCGAATAATGTTACAAGACTGACAGCCAAATTAGGAAACGTGTTTAAATAATAATAGCCAGATTTGTCAGGTGTGTATTTATAATAAGTTTCAATGTTTGTGCCACTAAATTAAAAAAAAAAAAATTATTTTATGAAATTCAACAAATAACTTATAATGTTAATTACTTGCAACAATTTCTCATATCATAACCAGCAAACAGTTCCATTCCAATTATGGCAAAAAAATAATACATGACGAGCATAACACAGCCAGCAGATTTAATTAAAGGTGATAAAATTGCCATAGTACCAATAATGTCTCGATAGCGTTTTTTCAATTTGAACAATCGCAACAACTTTAGTGGTCTAAAAACGACTACATAGACAAAATCGGGAAATAGACGTAGTGATATTACAGCAATCAAACCTCCAAAGGTCACAACAAAGTCATATAAATTCCAGCCGGATGAAAAATAACGCTCTAATCCCATGCCAAGTGTCTTCAATGCTACTTCTAGAGTGAAACCTACAATATAAAATTTTTTTATAGCATAAAATCTGACAAAAGATTAATAATTAAACTATTTTGAATACATGCTAAGAAGAAGCAAGTGTCCCATCCTGCACTAAATGCAAGTACTGAGGTTTGTAAGCTTGGATAAGATTGCATTCCTCGTTCAATCATTGCAATACCATTCAAAGTAGTTAAAACATCTAAAAATTTAAAAACACATGATTAATAATAAGTTTAGAATTTAAATACAATATTGTATGTATGTAAATTTTTTTACAAAATATATGATCAAAGTATGGCCACGAAATGATTGAGTTTGCAGTTTGACAAATTCTTTGTACGGCAGGGGATGCAGTAAAATACCAAGGAGTATCTATGGCTTGTGGTTGCCAAGTCATCATTACAGAGTCGTATATACCATAAAATTCTTCAATGGTCAATGAACCTGTTCCACTTGTATTCAAATATCTAAACATCACTAATAAATCTCGGTTGCCTGTGAATAATACAATGATGAAAAGTAAGTCTCTAATAATTAAGTGGTATTCATTTAATTTTACCTTTTTTGGGGGCATAGTATCTCATAACTCCTTCAAACTGAGGAAATTCCATTTGGTTAGGATTTTCTTTGGTCAAAAGTAGCTTAAATGCATTTTTACAAGCTTGACGTTTGTGCAACAGTAATTTTCGGAACTTATCTCTTTCAATACTAGTGAATGTTTCATAAACTACGGCCAACATCTAAAATAAATGTATCATAAGATTTATAATTCAGCAGTTTAGTATCCTAATTATAATAAATAAAAGTTATTCACCAAATTCATAAGGAGGTACAACACAATGCATAAGTATGAAATAAAGAAGAGAGAATACCACTTAGATTTTGAATAAGCTGGCATCATGATATCTGGAAAACTAAAATATACATGTGTTACACATTGTTTAAATCACTATTAAAAAAAAAACAACAGTACTAACTTGGCTGTAGTTAACAAAACAAACATGTTGACAAAGCTATTAAACAAAGTGTCAAAATGGTTGTGTACATCTGTAGTGCTTTTGAATAAATAATATCCAAGCACGGAGTACACAGTGACAAAAAAAAATATCAACAACAACATATCAAATATTGGAGGTAATGATTGGAGTATTTGTCGGATAAAACGTCGAACACCACCTAGGTAATGAGTATCAACTAAAAAAATTGGTCGTAATGCTCTTGATACTCGAAAATGAGACGTCTGACGTATCAATACCACAAATGCTTCAACAATCATTATTGTCAATGTTATACACTAAAATAAGATGAAAATAAATTAACAAATATAGCTATTCATTACTATAAGTAATTTAAAATGTATAAAAATTAGTACAAAGTATTGAAATAATTGTTGAATTAGTATACATACTTTTAACATGGTTCGTTTGTGTTTCAAAATTGTTAACCAACCCATCCATCTAAGTTTTAATGCCAAACCAAGACCTATCACTGCTAGGGCAAATAGTTCAATAATACTGTGGAGAGCAACTGGCATCTATGGTATAATACATCATGAGAATATTAATAATTAACATGAAAAATTATGTTTTACTTCAAACGGTGGTGTAGCTGGATCTTCTGCAAATGCTAGTACAATTAAAACTAGTGATGTGGCCAAATCCATTCCATAGTACCAGTCATTATGTACCAATAGGTAAGCTGGAAGAGCTTCAGGTTCATGTGGATGAGAATCAAATTTTTCATTATTTTCTCCTTCCTAATTAGTGGTAGATCATAAAACATAAGAATAATTGAAAACTCTATCATTAAAATAGTTTACTTCTAGAAATATAGACGCTTCATGGTAGTTCATCTCCCAAAATTGATTTACATCTATTCTACGATCACCATCACTAAATATCACATCCAGGCGACCATCAAAGTGATTTCTTAAATCTATATTTTCACCATCATCATTTGGTATTGTTGAATCATTAATACTTAACGGAACGTCTCCATTGCGGTCTAAAAAAATATATTATATTGCAATATAAATAATTAATACAAAAAAAAAAAAACTTACTTGGCGATTGAGCATGATATGAGCTCACAATGATATCGTCTTCAAATCTTGAATAGTCTGTCATTTTGAAATTTTTTGATCGATTTATAGAATAATTTGAATGATTAAATAAAAACTATACGACTCTTAATCAATCTATCTGTGGTATGGACCATCTTTGAAATTCATAATATGTTTCTGTGGTGTATATTATTTGTGTCCAAGTGAACCTGACCCATTTTAAATGAGAAAATAATTTACACGTCTAACGTGCTGATGAATGTCATAAGCATATTATCTAAAATATAAATTTGCATAAATAAATAAAACGGTATGTTAATTAAGTAAAATGTTTCAGGTCCACTTAGTGTATTTTGTATGTTTTATATTATGTACATCATGACGTACAACCGCGTACACTGCGCCACTGCAGGCGTCTGCTGCATAACAAAACAAACAGTTAAGTTAGAAGTGACAACTTACAGAGTAAATAGTAATGTATTATAACACCTATCTATAATCAGTAAGACACCTACGAGGATAATCAGTAATCAGTCAACATCCCGTGTTAACAGTTAACACGTCGTCTTGGTTTGTTTTCGAGAATATCAAAACAAAAAGTTGTAAATGTTATTGTTAACAAATATTTTGATAAGAGTAATCATGCGTAAAACAGTGCTTGCAAAGTCGGCGGTACGAAAATTACAACCAATTACCGAACGTGGGTCCCATTGTTATTATTGTAATTGCTTTTTTAATTACAACAATTTTAATCGAACAATTAAATTTGTTTGTTACGGAGAAGGCAGTATTCAATCTTTTCACAAGTATATGTATGGAATAATAGATGTTTTCTACTATCGGGCGTCCGACGATAGGTGGGAAACGAAATTGTTCGTCGCTGGCACTGGCGACACTGCAAAGAAATAACCTCAATACTTGTTCTCAAGCCAAATAACAATTCCTAACGCTGTCTCTTTTTTACGAGTGATCTGTTACCGTAGTGTTATACTTCCATCAAGTTTCCAGTAAAGTAAGTACCCATTTTTATCCGTTCTAATCTGTTCGATCTTAAAAGTTTTGCAAATAACGATGGTTTTGATCGGGATCTGTATAAAAGGCATTTTGTAAAATATAAAAAAAAAAATTTTCCCCGAAAAATCGACTTGCCCTAACCGTTGTGTTAACTTCGGATTTGTCGTGCTCCTGAACTGACGTATTTTTCGCTTATATTCTGTTAATATTTAATGTATCTGTATATTTATATGTGAATAAGTAGAACTTAAACACTTTTGACATATACAATATGCACATATATTTGCTAATCGGAGATTTTCGCTTTTTAACTTCATGAAGAAAATAGGAAGTCGCCGGTATCTTACTAATCTCATTCCGTTCTACTGGTTCAATTGTCTAGAGATAATTTAATTTTTAACTACTGTGATTATTGGGTTGATTGGGTATCTTCCAGAAACTGGGAAACGTAGTTTCTTGGTTATTTATGATTGAAATTGTAATATGATATGTACATTAGTATGTTTTATTTTTAATGTAGTCTTAACTATATACTTTGGTATTTTAATTTAGTTAATTACCTTATTGATAATATATTTTTAGGGCATAAAATATTACTTATCAAGGTACTAATTATTAATGTTCAATTTTGTGTCCTAATAATCATTAATTTTCAACTAGTATCATCAAAATATATTTCAAATTATAAATGTGTAAACAATGAGTTCTAAATTGTTAGACAGGTCTTGTCCTAAATTTAAGTATGATTTGCACAAATAATTATTGTGTTAACCTACCCATTGATCATTTTTCTAGTTATTTTTGTTACATTTTCCTAACTTAATTCCCTATTAATATGTTAGATGTTTGTAATAATTATAAAAAAAAAATTTAGATGGTTAAGGCTAAGGAAGCGGTTGCTAAGTCGGATTCTTCCGCAAAAAAGAAATTAAGGCCTAGCAAAGTTAAGAGCTTGGCTAAATTTGAAACGAAGAAAAAGGCTAGGGCAGCAGGTACCCTAAAGAAAAAGCCCAAACAAAATTTGTTGAGTGGTACAGCTACATGGAAAGTGGTCTACAAGAGTGGAACATGGCGTTTTGTTCACAGACCTACTGAAGCTAAGTTGATAGCTAAGGCTAAAGCAGAAGGAAAACCATTGAATGACACACCGGTAGATATTTTATTTAAATATTACTTTTAAACTATGGTAAAAATGTTTTCTTATTTTATTTTTATAGAAAAAAAAGAAGTCCATAATTGTCAAACCAATCAAGGGCGAGAAGAATGGTGAAACTCGTGAAGTACACACTGTCAAACGCAAGGCGTACTACCCAACATTGAAAACGTAATTAAAAATAAAATATTATTTTCGAATAATTTTAAGTTAAGCTTTTTATACTTAATTAATAAGTCATTTAGAGTTATACCTATGCAAAGACTTTTTCTCTCATAATATATGCCACCGATGTTATACTTGTCATATCAAGTATTATAACATGCTGGTGATGCATTAACTATCTATATGTTCTGTTACTATGGTCTACTGATGCCTTATACTTTCACGCATTTATTTCTATCTCATGTCAATGGTATTCTTCAAATGTGGTTTTTTATTCCAACTTTTTTAGTTTTAAGGTACTAAACTCAAACATTGAAATTAAAATATAATCTAAGGTTATTTTCAAATTATTTTTTAATGCTTATTCATTTACAAATAATTTGAGTAGTTGTTGAACCAGAGTCGCAGGTTATGCGCATTGAAGTATTCCTGTGCTAAAGAAAGTTCATAAATCAAATTCATTTATATTTATGCACCTTTTTTATGTAAACGTATACAAAATGGACACAAATAAGTGATACAATTATTCATTTAAAGATTGTTGATGACATTTAATTCGATAAGATAATTTTATAAAATTGTATAGGTACATTAAAAAATATTGAACCAGAGTCGCAGGTTATACGCATTGAAGTATTCCTGTGCTAAAGAAAGTTCATACATAATTTTCATTTATATTTATGCACCTTTTATATATAATTGTATACGAAATGGACACAAATAAGTGGTACATTAATTAATTAAAAAAATTTAGATGTGTGTAGGAACTAGGAACTAGAAATGAAAGCTTATAATTTTCAATGAAAATATTGAACCAGAGTCGCAGGTTATACGCATTGAAGTATTCCTGTGCTAAAGAAAGTTCATACATAATTTTCATTTATATTTATGCACCTTTTATATATAATTGTATACGAAATGGACACAAATAAGTGGTACATTAATTAATTAAAAAAATTTAGATGTGTGTAGGAACTAGGAACTAGAAATGAAAGCTTATAATTTTCAATGAAAATATTGAACCAGAGTCGCAGGTTATACGCATTGAAGTATTCCTGTGCTAAAGAAAGTTCATAAATCATTATCATTCATATTTATGCACCTTTTTTATGTAAATGTATACAAAATGGACACAAATGAGTGATACATATATAATTTTGATTTTGATCTTTTACTTCCTTATGATTTATTTTGTAAAGTTAAGACAAAATTGTGAATTGAGAGCATGAGGTATTCTTGTGGTAAAATGAAATAATTAATAATAATGCCGACAATTATAGTCTACTGCAAATAGATGAACTGAGTTTATATTTATGTATAATGTGTAATTTATTTGTATTGTTTATATAGTTAAAAAATATTTTTGTTTACAGACCGAAGAAACATAAGTCTCGTGGTTTATTTAAGAACCACAAACGTAATACACGCCCATCGTTGACCCCAGGAACAATTGTCATTTTGTTGACAGGTGTTCACAAAGGTAAACGTGCAGTTTTGTTGAAAACACTTGATACAGGTTTACTTTTGATCACTGGGCCATTTATTTTAAATGCCATCCCAATGAGACGTGTTCACCAAGGTCATGTTATTGCCACCAAGACCAAATTGGATATTTCAAGTGTGAAGATACCTGAGGAGGTTGATGACAAGTATTTCAAGCGTACGCTATTAAAGAAGAATCCCAAGAAGAATGATAGCAAAAGTTTGTTTGTCCAAAAACCCAAGGTATTATAGTTGAATTCTATATTGTTAAACTATGTTTTAACTAATGTTTCTTAAACTTTTTTTAGACCTACCGACCAAGTGAAAAAAGGAAGTCTGATCAAAAGACAGTCGATGCACAGGTATTGAACATTATCAAGCAACATCCAGACAAGAAATCTTTCTTCATGTATCTCTCATCCATGTTTGGATTAAGAAATAATCAATACCCACACAGAATGCAATTTTAAATTTACTGTATGTATTGGTTGTTTCTTTCTTTATGAATACATGAATATACTACTACATGTATTTTTTAAATCTTTTTTTTACTTTGTATGAACCTGAACATTCCTTACTGAGATTTAAATATATCTTATCCTTAAATTGATTAAATGTGCAATCTGTTATTGATACTTAGAATATTTTTGTATTTTAGAGATTTAATTATTATTTACAGTAAATCTTAATAATAAATCTTTTATTATCAGAGTGGCCTATGAGGTAGCTGCTGTAGTAATGACTGCTGAAATATAGATGAATGATGAAACTTAAATATTATATTTATGCATTGTTTATACTATATATATCAAGAGTAATGATAATTCACATTAGTAATACATTTCTATATTGTACATTAAAAATTGATATAATAATCACCTTCTATATCTAAGTGTACTAAAAGACAGTAACCAACTTAAAGCTATTTACCAATACATTGTTGTATGTCACATACCCAGTTTGCGTAAACAGAAAATAATTTAAACAATATTTTGTAAGGGTATAAAATATTATGGTAGTGTACAATTATGCTGATATGCTCATGTACAATTTCAGTCATTAAGAGTTAAACAAGATGCAAAAAAAAATATTTAACTTAATATTTTGTTTGTTTAATGTTGTACAGTTGTATTTGATTTTATTGTATTTTAATTTTTGTCTGTTCTGTTATGATAAAATACTACGGGAATTAAAAATTGAAGTAAATTTATTGTGATTGTGGCAAGTGGCTACTATACTATGGTGTTAAAACGCTAATGATTCTGTTTCATTAATTTAATTTATGCATCGAACTAATCCAAAGTATAAATTATAACAAAAAATATTGAATATATGTTGCATGTAGTTACGACGTTTTAAATTTCCTTAAATTGTTCTATCGGTAAATAACGACTATTGTACATTCATTTATACCATAATGTTGTGGCAAGAATAGCTTATGAAACGTAATATTTTGTGATTATTCAATCAAAACCGATACCTACTCCGTGTTTATAATTTACACGAGAATTCCATTAGGCTTTTGCCGAGAATCGCATCTTGAGTGTGAAATTCATCACTTCGCACGTGTGTATAAATTGTGTAAGTATAATATGTCATATGAGGTGTAAATTTGTAGTAAGTTGATAAGTGTGTAAGGAATTATTTTAATATAATGACATATCATTCATTATGAAAACTATGTTCCGGAAATATACCATCGTCGAAAGTTTTATTATTTGTATAACTTGAGTTGTCTCACAATCCCTTGTACAAACTTTTCCGGTACGTTGTGCATCCTGAAATCATGTTATAATCGTTAATTTATTCAAAACAATGTGGAAATGAATGCCAGCTCTGTATCAGTTAATATAATAATAATAATTGTAGTTTTATACTTGAGTTCCTCGATTTTATTGTACATTGTGTCGCGTAACATTTTTTGCCTGGCAAGCTCTTCTTGTTTCAGCCTTATACCTTCCTGGAAGAACCTTTTTCGTTCGAGTATCTTTTCCTGTTCTTTATCGTTAATCTGTTTTAATAGGTTTCTACGATGTGCTTCGATTTTCTGCCGGTATAAACAGTATTCATATATTAGGAGTTTATTAGAAGTTTATTAGTCAGTTTGAGGCTTACGTTTAATATTCATAAATGTTTAGGTTCCTACTTACTTATATAGTTATATACTATGGATAAACCTAAAGACGTTTAAATAGTATGTAAATAGGTACTTTACATAGATATGGTTTTAGAAGAGGATAATAAAACAAAATATGTAACTAATGTTATAATATAATAAATATGAGGTAAGTGTTGTACAAACGGTTCATTTTTAAACAACAATGAAAAATAAAATTTAATATAGGTAGGTTATATAAGTCCATATGCACATTTTCAGGTTTTGATTTTGAGGGGCTTTATTCAAATGAAGCAGACTTGTGAGTGGCTCTGCTGTCGTGTTTAAATACTTGAAAAATATATTACTTTATGTAGTATACCTAATATAACATATTAACATAATATTTTTCTCACATTTAAAATATGATGCATGTTATAATACATCTGATTATTACTAAAAATTAAAATGAAAAATATGTTTACAAATTCCAAAATGTAGGTACTTATATACATATATAATATTATAATTGATAATAATTGTATCCGTCTAATCGAAATTGCAAATTTATATTTAAAAAAACACTATGCTATCGATGAGTATCGTTTGATGATAGGCTCACATTCAGTATACAACTTGGGAGTGCTAAAATGTTTTACCTTAAAGTAACCAGCATGGTTATAAATCAGGAATAAATTAATTTAAAATAAAATTATAAAGCCGAAGTAGTAAACCTGATTTTTAATAAAGAATCTTTTTTGACCGATATATTATAACCAATTATTTCAACGACTATTACATTCTTCGACGAAGAAGATATGCAATCAGGGTCATTCACATTTTCCTATATATTTTCGTCATTTTTGTTTTGTTGAATTTGAATACACTAAGCATAATTAAACAGGAAATATATGTCCGTGTTATTGGTACATTACCAATACGAGCTAGAATAAACTCATTCTTATAAAAGCGCAATTACACCTGGAACAATATTTTTGACACAAAATAATCTCTGGATGCTAAGCACTCCCGGCACTCCCATATGTAATCCAATTTTCCATATTCTAAATAAATTGGATAATTGGAATGTTACCTATCACTTATCAGAAAAACAATATTATATATCCACCTTGGTTTTGTAATTACTAATTTGTAATACTAATTATGTTCGGTGGGTGGATTCGATATCTTTTATGGAAGACACGAATAATCAATCATTGATCGAAACTAGAAAATAATTTCTTCAAATAACGTTGACTAAATTTTGTAGGTTAGATAACTATAATGTATTAGGACTAATACTTCTATTAAAATAAAACAATTTGGATTAGTTAATTCTAAGATAAGTCCTTCAAGTCCCCTCCCCCTAAATTGCACCTATGCATATAAGTTATAACATATTAAAATACATTATTATTTACTAAAATATATCTGTGCAGAATTGGTATAAATTAGTTATTTATTTCGTTTTAATAATTATTAATTTATATTTTATAAGTGAGTTAAAATTTATAAGCGAAAGTTATTTAACGAATTATGTATTTTAAAATAGAAATATGAGAGAATTATTAATTTCTCCAAGTAAAATAATTATAGATTCTCGTTCCTATAGATATTACATCCTTTTCTTAGTAGCCAACACGGTAATACATAATAATATTATTTTATATTTACCATTTTATTTTTTTCATCCATTTCTTTACTCTTTTTGATGTCTTCGATGTTGAGTTTAGCGATTTTTTCAGTTTCGTCCTTCTCTCTTTGAATTTCAAAAGCGTACGCTATTCTTTGGTCTTCAATCTGTTTGCGCCTGATCGAGTTTAATTCTTCTTCTACCGCGACTTTTTTTATGGCCTCTTCTCGTTCCTTACGGCGCCACTCACGTTCTACCTGTAATTTATTGTAAAATATTAATACAGTCTATTATAGATGTTCCATGTAGGAACTATGAGTAATGAGTATAACTACATGGATCACCAATATTTAAGTTCATAACACGTGCACACTGCATTGTACATTATTTTAACATACGTTTTATTGTTTGTATAGGAATAAGGAATTTTGACAGTCAAAACCTAAACATTTTCTTTGAGTTTGTGAATTAATGAGTTGCACCTATATATTTCGAGTTCAAAATCTATTTAGGCGGTGGATAATGGATATAATTAATAAACTGAAATTTTAAAATAATTAGAATTTATATTTTAGTTACTATATTTTACACCAAGATTTTGATGGAATTTTTCCAATCTGAAACAGTTTTTATATTTTAATATTCAATAGAGAAATTAAAGATAGGTGTAAACAAGTGGTGGTTGAATTATTTGATCTTGGTTCGGGAGGGGGGTAGGCGGGAGAGAAGGGGGGAGGCGGGAGAGAAGGATGTAGCATTGTAGCTGATACAGATACTATTTGATCATTTAAAATATAATTTATGGTAAGGTATCGTCTTTTACCTATATCATATAAATTATAAATATTTAAAAAAAGTTTACGGGAATCTATCTCCCTTCTATTCGAGTATTTGACCTCCCCCAGTGCTTACCTATACGAAGATAAATGTTAATTAATCAAACATCGACTTTCAAGGCATTATATTATATTATTATGTATATTTTTATTTTTTAATCGGTATAAACTCGATCGTGGTATCAGCATGCCACCGCCCACCTCCGTGGCTCTTTTCATAAAACATTGGTATACCGTACTTGTAAGAGCTGCGAGAGGGTAACCATAACATTTTCCAGTCACCCATCAATTTTTCCGTGTCCGTCATGCCAACGACACCTACAGCACCTTTAGTTTTACCACCCGAGATCATTTTTATTTTTTTGTTTCAATGTTATTTAAAATACATTGAATTGTAAAAACAATATTTCTCAGCCAAAGCGTTCTTTTTTTGTGGCGAAAATTTGGTTTTCTATTGAAATGCAACCTTCTCAACTCGATGTCGGGTCACCCAGCAACTAATAATGGTACCGACTCGGAGAAACATTATTGTAACGTCTTGTAACTTGTAAGTTATTGAACAAACTAGTTTTTAAAATATAAAAATTTGATTATATTAGTTCCCTAAATAAAGAAGCATATTTTATAGTGGCCTACCTATACAACATACCTATAACATCCAGACATATTCGTATAATAATTCTATACCTAGTAGAAAATATAATATAGTTTTATTCATACATGCCTCATTTAAGACTGTCGACTTAGGTATATAAATTTGATCTTATTGAATACTCATCCATACATTACAGGTAGCAATATTTGGAGTTTATTTTGGGTGCCAATAATTTAATGATTTAGCCTATGGGTACATCTACGATGTAAGGTTGGTACCTACCAATTTCGTATCATTTTTTAAACACTATTGTTTTCTTATTATGTGCTACCTATATTATATTTAGTAGAAATTGTCTCATTAAAAATGTTAAATGTAATGCTTTGATAACTCATGTATCGACGTATCGTGTATGTATTTATAAAATAAAAAACATTTTATTCTCAACCATGGTTGGGTACCGTGTTTACCTGGTCTCTGACTCTGAGCGCGTTTAGCTCGTCCTTGGTGGCTCGCAAATCGTACGTAGCTTGTTGACTAGCCTGTATTTTAGCAATAGATTTTTCCTTCAGAAGTTTCTGCTTTTGTAGCTCTCGCTCGAACGCTATTTCCCGTTCATTCTTTTTGCGAGTGTACTCTTGTATCTGTGACAGAATGAATGTGCGAATTTCATTTTAATCAAATAGGTACACTTATTTGTAAGGTTTTTATGACCGTGATGGCCTTTGAAGGTTGGTATTTCGAATTATTGGTATTAAGCTGCAAACGAATTGAGTCCCGAGATCCCTTTTCCCACTAACTACTAACAACTGCATTAATTGCGTCCGAAGAATTTAAATGACTAGTTGCTTCCAAATGTCCAATGTAAATAAATTATTTCCCTTCCCGTTTAATACAGACTTGGAACTGTCAATACTCAATAGCAATATTGCATATTATACTTATAAGTAGGTACGTCAAAAACACTGTTTTTGATCGTTTCGTTATTACATACTTAATACATATATTAATGTCGGCTTCTTGGCTTTTTCCATAACTCATTAATAATTGCAAAATTTCGATTTTTTTTAAAGCGCTATCTAGTGTATACATTTGAGCTCAATAATTTGTGTAGAGGCACTAAACATCGAAATCTCCATACAAACATGTTTTTATTTAGCTTTTTCATTATTCATTATTATTTATTAGGTATTTACATATTGTTTATTTGTACAATGTATATAGTACTATAAAGAGTTATAGGTATGTAAGAATCTATTAAACCGTTAATGTGAGGCAAGACAATAGAAGGATAATAATATTTTTTTGTGCCATAGGAAAAAAATGAACAAAATCCTAGAGAAACTTTTCAATTATTTAAAAAGCTAATTACCAACAATTGCCTTTTATTACCGTTAACACGTTTTGGCACGATATTATACCAAAAATGTTTTCTTGTGACGTTTTTTCGTTATTGCATAAATTATATCTTTATAGCTCATAATAATAAATAATTTAGTTATTTAATAATGTATAATAATATATTCTACATTTAGTCTAATTATTGTTCGTTGCTGTAGATACAAATATAAAGATATAATTCAAAAAAATTTATAAATATACGTTAAGTTTGGTTGTTATATTATATTATTATTTATACACTACCTAAAATTTAAATGAAACGCTTTTGATGTACCTAATTAAAACGTGTTATTTTGATTATTTTTATATTTAATCATTTGTCTTCTTACAAAAAATATTTATATCTTTTTTCATTATTTGACTATTACTACGAATTTTAATGAAAGTATCTTTTTACATTTTTTAGAACATAGAGAAATTTATTTCAAAAGTTTCAAAATCGTGTTCGATGGATGATAGTCTAATACTCATATCGATTACGGATTTATAATCAGATAATAGGGACGCATTTAGTGTATCTATTTTTTCTTTATAGTCAAATAGAAAAACCTTGTCTCCTCTCGTATGTCACCTATCGCAATTTTTAAAACTGGGACGCAATTCGTATGCAGTTGATATTTCGTATTTACATAATATTCATAATAATATAATTAGTTACACATTTGCTAGGAATGTTTATTTAATTACACCATCAGACCATCTTGAAGTGTATGGTAAATACCTTTATTTGTGTTTTTACACAGATCTCATTCTCATATAGTTATTAGTTTCTATTCACGAAGGTACATATATGATATAAATATATAATATATTATTATGTATTATACAGTTGTATGTGTCAATGCATATGTAGAGCGTAGGTACCTAAGTACCGTTCCCAACCACTGCTGTAATAATCGTTACCTGCAGCACTTCGATGTTATTCATCTCTTCTTCCAGTTTTTTCGAATCTCTTATCTGTGCATTGAGCAACATGTACTCTTTGCGAAGTTGTGCCTGTTTTTCCATTCTCGCCTTGTAGCTTTCAGCCTCGTCATGCCGGATCTTGTTCACCGCTTCCGCTCGAATCATCGCTTCCTGAATATACATGCATTAATAGCGACGAGTATGATATTGAGTTTCTCGTTTTCCGTGAAAACATGATCATGAAACTCCAATTTACGCAAGGGTTATTAAAACGTTTGAAAATATTTTATAGCTATTCATTTGTTCTAAGAACTGACTTATTTATTTAACAAAACTGATATTCCGAATTATTTCCGATATTCGTAAACACAACACGTCAACTATACATACCTCCGCCATCCTAGCCAACTCCATTTCTCTGGCGATCTCGTTCTCTTTTATTTGTTTCTCGACCTCAACTGCTTGGAATTTTTTTTTTAGCCTCTCGACTTCTGCTGCCTTTTCGAGTTCTTTAGCAGCCAACGCTCGTTCTCGTTCCATCATTTCTTCCATCCGACGTTCTTCTTCTTTCATTTCTTTCCTATAAAAACATAATGTGTTAGTCATTTATACAAATTCTATTGCTAACATGAACTTTTTATAATTAAAAAAACGTTTACAATATTTGTTTTAGATTCAAAGGTGAGAAGTTCTATAGTAATTTAAAGCAGAAACTTATGAAAGAAATAGGTATGTAGGTTGCGAGGTCATTTGGAGGTTTTTCTGTTCTCCTGTTCTAATTTAATCCATAATTATATTACAGCAGACTCATATGTATGATTAGATGCATTATTATAGCTAGCTATTAACAATATTATCGACTGGATATAATTTTAAATATTTATGTTAAATAAAGTTGATTATTAAAACAATGCTATTCTGCAAAATTGTGTCAATTTGTATTTATAATTATTATAAGTAGAACGCTGCAATTTGATAATAATGTTTAAATTATACTTTGATGTACTAATCGATATAACTATATTACCAGATAAATTTGCTAAATTTAAATAATGATGAATAAATAACAATTTATGAAAACATAATATTATGTCATATAAAAATGAACGATCCTATTACTTTCTATCGAGCAGAAATGAAAGATACAATTTTATCTTTGATCAAAATTATAAAGTTTATTAAAAAAATTGTCTGGGGAAGTATTTCATTTAATTCAACGAAATGTTTAAATGTTTAATGAAAAAAGTAAAAAAAAACATTTACTAGTTAGGTACTATACAGAGTGATCCAACAAGTATGCTCACCTTTTTTTTCTTTAATAATAAAGTTTTTCAAAATCTGATTTTTGGAATCTTTAAATATACTCAAAGACCATATTTTCATATCCTTGATTTTGTGTACCACTTAAGGAGTGTCCTGTGGTGATACGAACCTTTGTTTTTTAAATGAGTACCCCGCTTTTTTTCTTTAAATTATTTAGCGGATAATTTTTTTGAGAATTTTGTTGTATCGAAATCAAAATTCGAACGAGTGGTTTCCTAGTTATTGGACAATTTGTACTAAGGAAAATAGTTCATAATATTGATATATTTATAAAGTTCTACACATGGAATAAGAAAAATAACTAAATAAATCACGAAGGATTTTACTTGCTATACTTAAGTGTTTGACTAAATAAGTATGAAATTACGTATTATTTTATATGATGTGTATAGATTATAGATAACAACGTTTACTGTGTAAGCATATCCAACTTCCCTATTATAAACTATATATTATCATGACGTGTTCATAATTTATAAAAGTACATATCTACCTATAGACTATAAATATATTTATGTATAATTATTATTATTCAACATTTCATAAGAACTGCTGTTATTTGCTACTCTTTTCTACATTTTGTATACTCGTATACATACTATTTTACCAAATATACCAATATATAATAATATACGCGTATAAGTGCTATTATTTAGGTGTATACAATTGACTTACTGAATAAGTTGTTTTTCAGCAATTTGAGCGTTTCTGATGGCATGGCACTTGGTACTTAATATTAGAGAGTTGCACTGTTTTATTTCATCTTCTTGGTCTTGTCTCAATTGTTGTGCTCTGGCCAGAAGGTAATTGGACTTCTTATTTGCTTCATCATCTAACTGTTAACAATTAATACTAATTTATAGTATTATCATATTAAAAACAATTTAATAGTAATTAAGTTACCTATAGTTATCTTGAATAAACTAAACTAAAGATACAGTGGTATAAGTGTATACCTAGTAACTGCATCAAAATACTGGTATTATAAGATAACAATATTATAAATAGAATAATAAATATATGTACAGTGTACATTATAATATCGTAATCCGTGCATATGTTGTGATTACAATAAAATATTGTATCCGATTTGTCAATTTGTCATGCTTATTTGAAATCATGTGATATTATTATTACTCCTTTATATATTTAATATTGAAATTAATACAGTGCAGGGGATAGTGGTGTTTCTAGGCCTTATTTAGAATTTGAAAAAAAGTGAGTGGGGAATAAACGTAGGCAGTAGGATTTCGAAGTTAAATAACATTCTATACTTTAGAAAAAGGACGTAAGCAGGAATTGACAGTGATGGAAGCGTAAAAGGTAGAGTAATAGTTTCGAAACGTTATTAGAAAGTGCCTTTGCCGGTCGGAATTAATGTGGTATTTAGGATCATTTATCAAACAGTGATTTGTTAGCTGGACTCTTTTATATATAATTTTAAATGATAATTTTCTGTTAATAAAATAACAAGTTATTCTGTTTTTTTTAAGCTTTTCTATATACTAATAAATAACAAGTTTGGATGAATTAAAAATATTACTTTAAGTAAATATGTGGCAAACTTAATGTTTTAATTTGGTTTTAGATTTTATAATTCCAACTTAAAGTAGTAACAAATACTATCAATTTAAGTATTTAGTATACCTATATATATATATGTATTAAACTACATACATTATAATATGTTTTATATTTTGTTATAAATTATAATATTTAATACTTGGTTACGATGGTTCAATGTTTGTATAAACTATATAACGATAAAATAAAATATATTAATACAATAATTATTAAGTACCTTTATCCACAAAAATCGACAAGTTTACTAAGTGAAAAAGTCTTAGTGCTTTATATTAGAATATTAGATAGATATCTAATTTATGAAATTGATACTTATTTTGCGCACTTTTGGGGAAAAAAAACAAATTTTTATAAACTAAATCCACTTTCCATTTTGTGTAATTTTGTAAGACAATTTACCGTACGTCCGTATAGAAGAATATTATGAATTTGAAGAATATTATGAATTTACATATTCTATACAAGCTATGGATTTATAATACACCTTTTAGATTTTAAACAGAGCTATGAATGTATCGATTTAGAATAATGTGTGTTTTTCGTATACCTAAAATATTTGAATACTACTGAATTCAAATTGAACACATCCATTAAATTGACCCACATGGCCTCACGACATCTAATGTGCAGCAAAGTGGTATCCATTTTTTATTATTATTAATAAGTAATTATTTACGTTCAATTATGATGAATGTGGTACATTGTTATTTGTTATTCTGTTATTGCATTTTAAAATAAAACTGCATTTGCTTTAATTTTAAATTCTGAGGTGAGCGATGAATGTTGTATTGATTGTACAATGATGTGTGTATGTTTTTTTTTCTCTGTGTGAGTTGTGTGACTATATAAATGCGATAAGTAGACCAAATAATTCTTCGATTTTGAAAGTGAATATAATTGGTGCATTCAGGAGGTAAAAATTCCCAGCATTTTTCAAAAACATCAGGAAAAAAAAAATGTATAAGCATAATATTGTTGTATTTAAAAATTCATAATATAATATTATGTATATTACTATACATAAATCTATAGGATATTATTGATAGTAAACTATAGGATAATCAATTATATATTTTGTTTTTTGTGTCTGATCCTTGAGAGATTATAACACTTTTATAGCAGAAAAAATGCATTAATCCTCAATTGTGTTTCGGTTGGTGGTTTCTGGTCGTAGATTGGATCTAATTAATTCTAAGGTTCAGCGTGTTTCAGTGATTTAGGTAGATGATTTAGAATGTATAGGGAAATAATAAAAAGTGATTTGAGTGGTATGATTTTCTCAAATTCAAATTCATATCAATATTGTTTATTAACTATTAATTACCTATCTGGATTTTTAAATAAATAACATCTAACACACAAGATTATTCAAAATTATTTATCTGTTGCTTGGCACATGGTCTCTTACTTTGAAGCAACTTCTGACACGTCTTGTATTTGAGTTATAATAGTACCTAGCAGAATTTATATCTTATAATATGATCTTATTGTATTTAATGTATCATTTTTTTATTGATACATCACATATTTCTATTGCTCTAAACCTAAGCATTTAAATAAATATATATAAACGGATAAATTATGTCGAATAACCGTTAACTAAGTATGTTATTTATTGTTTAGTCAAATACCATATTCATTGATATAATAGTGTTTCATATTTATATGTACATAATATATGTATTATATAAGTGACACTGACCTGTGCAAGTTGTTTTCCTTTAGTCCTAAGTATGTCATAGCTCTGTAGTTTTTGCTTCCTGGCAGCGCTTTCGCTTTCTAGCCTCTCTCTGTCGGCCATTAAGTCTTCGACTTTTTTTCTTCGATCTTCCGCGGTTACTACCACAGCTTTATTTTTTAACCGCTTGAATGTGCTTCTGTCAATTACTCGACGGTCTGGTATGGCCATGAATTGTTGTTTTCCCATCTTGTCCAACTTACAGATTTGTGAATCTTTCCTATTAAGACGATCGGTATCGTTCTCAAATTGCTCTTCAAGATTTTTATCAGGTGTAAAATACACTGGTTGCTTGTACTCAATGTCGCGTTCCGAAAGACTTGAAAGATTAGATGCCGACGATGCCATGCGGCGTTTGTCCCCATGAATATTATCAACTGAAATCATGACGCAACAAATTTGTTTTGAAATGCCTTTTTACGTACCAAATATATTGCTTTTTATTTGTTCTGATGTAAAAAAATCAGCAATGATTTTTTTTTAAATCTTACGATAGGTATTTAAACATTTAAAAACGTGGTACGATTATTGTTTTATTATTCATATCATATTAGTTATGTGTACGAAAATTATCTTGTTTGTAGACTGGCTTAATATAACTATTCCAATAAGTATACAAGTTTGTTTACTCGTCGCCAGGGTTGTTTCCTGAGAAACGCCAATTTTCAAGTTTACTGAACAAACACCGCATGTAGCATAATATTATTCCGATGCTATGTTTCGATTATCATTATGTGTCCACTAATAATAATAGCAATTATTATGCAATAATTACCTCAAAAACTAAAAATGTTGGAGTAGGTACTTAGATACGTCCTCCACAACGTATTCAAATCTAATAAGTTTGAGTAATTTAATTAGCCTATACCGTGGCATTGGTTTTAAAGACCAATTATAATACAGTATCAACAAAATATAAATTAAAAAAATATGTGATTAGATAAATATTTAGTATAGATTGTTTTTCGTCCATATGTTTCGTCAATTCTTCGTTAGTTGCCCACTATTACGGATGACCTTAGGTGTCCTGATTCATGGAGGATTTAATGCTCCATAATCATTGTGATCAGAAATACAACAAATTATTTTTGTTTTAATATAGATGTACACTGTAGTCTGTGACTTATATCATGTGGTTTATAGGTTTGTTTAATATTATTAAAAACCGTTTGTTAAAAGTTGTCGTTTTTTTTTTTACTTAAGAAATAAATGTCTGATTTGTTTCTTATTTTTCATGTTGTAAATTTAATTCTCTGAAATACTGAAAATTGTTTTTTCTGGTAAATGCAAAAGTTCTATAGTAGATATACATCTCTATTCTCATCTAGATATTGTAATTATATTATATAATGTAACCATTTTCATTTTTACATTAAAAAAATATATTCTCATCATCTTAAAAAATTTCATTTTTGAAAATATATTGTATACATTATCATATTTTTCCAAGTATGATTACATGTGCTGAAAAAATTCTAGAATATATTTTAAAATTATTACTAAATAAATATTTTAATAATTTATTTTCTGATTTTTCTTAAAAGCATTCTAAAACCGTAATTGATTAAGTATTTAAATTTTGTTGAATGTGTGATATGGTTTTCCATTTAAAATGATAGTTACTTGTAGCAATTATTATTTTATACAAAACTATAAAAGTGCATATAAATAAAATAAATATTTAGTTAAACTCACTTATACATTTAGGTTGGAGCATACAATTTGACCAAAAATATAAAAATTGATCGAATTTAGAAATATTGATGCACATTTTTCACGAAAAACAATTTAGAGAAATATTATACTTCTTAAAATATTTTTTGTATAGTTATTTAATCAATATAGGTTAGTGTTTGGAAATAAAAAAAATATCAAGACTTATTACGATCTTATTTGAGATCTTGTCGATCAATACTATTGTAAAATGCTAATATGTGCCCAATAAAGTTAATGCAGAAAATGACGAGGTTAAAAAATACGATTTTGGGAATACAAATTGAAAAAATATAATGAGAGCCTGGTTTTTTAAAAAAAAGTTTTCCTGATATTCATCATCTAAACTTAGGTGTATAGAATTAATTTTTTTTTAAAATAATTCATAATTCACTAAAAACAGTGCTTAGTATTATTTGCACTCGAGTTATTTTAAAGAAAGTTTAAAAAATGCTAGCTATTAAGTAGGTATCAATTGATTAGGTTGGTTTTCTTTAAAAATGTTTTTGTTATTTGCACGAGTGAAATGAAAATACCAGAAAGAATTTATTGTTGACTAAAATATTAAGTTTCTTTCATGATTCCCTTTTTTCATTCTCTTTGCTTTTTTGTTTTCACAGTTCCACTCAATCTAGATGGAAATGCTACTCTTATGAATGTTCATTGTACATGTAATATGCACATAATTGTTTCATTCACATGGTACTATGAACAATATTCCTCACCATTCCGTTTTTCATCATTTAATGGTTTTCATCAAACAAAAAAGCAAAACTAAAAAAAAAATCTGATGTTTATATCTTCTATAGGTGTACAAAAATTGTTTTTATACATTAAAACAATTTTTAATAAAAAAAAATTGTATTGTATGCCTAACAAAAATTATTTATAAATTTAAATTCATAAAAATAAAAAATAAAAATAATGAATATATAATATTGAATTAAGTGAGTGATATATTATTATATATTACTTACATAATATTATGTTAAACAAGTTTTTCTATTTATTTAATATGATAATAGAAAAATAATAATTTGATTTCAATGCTTTTATAATTTAAAATGAATAAAAAATAACAGTTGTAAATTTTTAAATGTAATAGTTACCTATTGTCTATTAATATTATTATACGTGTAAACTACGCTTATATTCATTTTTTTGTGTTTTAATCGCCACACGAGGACGGGCTGTAGTCAATGTTGTCATATTTTGTACTTACTCTTTACAATGTCCTGCGGGAAGACGTGCAAATAATTTGTATACAAACACTTTTATTCTATTATCCCAGGTTGACATCGATCTCCTTCCCCATAATAAAAGTAGGGCTATATATAAATACCTATTCTGCGTACTTTATAGTACCTACGTCCTACGCTATGTTGTTTTCTAATCGATTTGGCTTGAAATATTTTTTTAACTTCTCAATAGATACCTATTATTTGAGTATTTTTTAACAATAACTTTTGGTTTTCTATATGTATATTGATGTTGAAATTGTATAGAAATTATATTTGATTTCTCTCATGTGCTCTGGACTTCAGGTATAGGCAAATTTAAGCCTAACCTATGCGAATTTTAGTTCAACAATTAATATTTTTTTAATACATTTAATACCTTAACACGATTACACGGAATTTGCGTTAAATGCAACAGTTCGTGATGTCGGCTTACTTATCGTCTCGAGGCGTCAAAGGTATTTCTCACACCAGTGAACCGTTGCTAAGCCCATTAAATAGGTATAGTCAAGTTCGGTCGACCGTCAACTATAAGCTTTCCTATATGCCTTTATATTTTGCTTTTCTGTCCTGTATCAAGTCGTTAACCTTTGTTTTGTACAGTATACTGAAATGCTGATTGTATCTATGCTTCAAAATGTAGAATAATATAAAGTTATATTTATATTTATGATTGTTATAAATTATAATATTAATAATTCAACAAAATATTGAAAATATATGACAATTTTAATTTTACGTTTTGACTAACTTTCTACCTACTAAGTAAAATGTTAGAAACAGAATTAAATGTCAATATTATGTATAATAGTATCAAATTAGTGCTTAAATGTATAAGGTACTTTTTGTTTTGTATAACATAGTTTACGATTACGACTATCATTATTCCAATAGATAAGTTTGTATTCCACTTAATATATTAAATTTATGCATTAATTGTAATAAAAATATGTAGGTAAATCCATTATATTTAGGTGGTACCTATAAACGTGGCTACCTACAAAGTTACAATATATGTTATTGTATCGTAAAAATGAAACGTCATCGCAATAAGTAAATAAAAGAAAAAAAATATTATATATATATTTTTTAAATTGAATTGTTATTATATTTGGCTGTCTTTAAAATCAATTACGGGTTTTATTTAAGAGCAGTGGTAGAGAAATAATTTATCTGAATACCAATAAAATAAGTTTTGATTACCTATAATTTTTCCTTATTATGGTTTTGTTTTGATAAATTAGAACAATGACTTAAAGTGAATCGTTAATATTGTGTAGTTAAAAGAGAAATATACTTCATTGTTAAAGCTAAATTACAGTGGAAATCGATTTATAATTACGCTGTAATACAATATATATATATATACATATAACATGAATATTATGCTTTATACAATCTTATGAAACTGTCAAAACTGCTGCGTAGGAATACTGTAATCCACTAAACATTATATTAATTCATTTTAATTATACTATATTGAGTTTTAAATTTACTAGGAAAAATCAATTTGTATTTTGTAGTATGTATAAATATAATATTTATTATTCATGAAGTCTTTAATATTAAACTTTGAAACTCAATAAATATCTGAAATCGGGTTTTTTACAATATTATTAAATGGTTAAGTATGTAAGAACGGGTAAGGTGAGTACTATTCATTCTATTGGATAAATAGCAAAAATATTATTCATTAAATGTTTATGTCATAAATCACCTGGGTAATTTGCACATTATTTATAGGTGACTGGGTGAAGTTGGTACATATTTTGACAAAATATACGATAAAATAACAATTAATAATTTAATAATAATCTAATAAATTGATAAATAACTTTTACATTAGGTACTTAATATTATAATAATTTAATAACTATCTAAAAATCATTTTTTTAAAAGTATGATTTGGTTTTCGCTACTAGAATGACCAGATACATATTTATAGATTTGTTGAGCTAGGCCATGATGATTTTCTACTGTTCTATCTTACCTGAAAATAAATCAATACTTTATTTATAAAAACGTTAAATGTGTTTTATAAACAGCTGTTGTTGATAATTGTTTATAATCAAGAGTATTATAAAATATATCAAATTGTATAAAAATTAAACAATATATTATATTCTTGAATTAGAGTCCTAATTACGTCGAGTTTTTTGATGGACAAATCCATTGATTAGTGATTACATTATCATTTTAAAATGTATTGATTAAATCTGACTCATTGTTATAATTGTCGAAGAGTTTGAACTTTCCTCGATTATTTTTGATCTTATATAACATGATTTAATTCGTTTCAGAACTGAAAAAGACTTAAACAATTTGGTATTGAAGAATGGATAGCAAAGGACTATATGAGGATGAAGATGTCAGCTCACTATTTATTTTCTCCTGTGACCAACGAGCAACATAGCATTATAGCAAAATTGCGTTCTGCAGAACCAACCGTGTGTAGTTATCTTTATAGTATACTATAGAGTTAATTTACTCGTTATCAAACTTTAAGTTAAGAACATTATCTGCGTCTGTAGAACAAACTTTGTACGTATTATTTTAATATCAAAGTGAAATATTTATATTTTTAAATTATGATAATTTAAATACCGGCTTACAACCTGAATACAAATTGAAATATTGTAAAAATATCTATGTACAAACTTTCTGAATGATTGTATGTCTCTACATGATTACACAATCTGAAGTGCTTAAGTGGTTTAACGTGTTGACCAATGTACCAACATAATCTGTTTACAGTTGTTTACGTTTCTTTACGTTTGAAAGGAATACAGGATATCTAAGTTCCCGAATTAATAAGACTTAATACTTAATCCACTGGCCACAGCACATTGGCTAATGTACAAATTAGGTTGATGATGTATACATAATATATATTTAAGGTCGACGTATAAATTGCCTTGTTCATATGGATATGGCTAGAGTCAGTCTTGAACAAACATGGTCAGTTCAGGTCATATTATACATCATATAACATGTATTGTAATATGATGATGTCATAAAAATGTTCTATTTAAAAGGGAAGAACTTTTTTATAATACCTATGTATTAATTGTAGGTATATATGTATAATGTATATTAAACAGGGTTGTTCGAAATGAATCATCCGATGCTCTGCACCTGGCTCCCTATAAGTCACCTGACCTTACGCCATGAGACTACTATTCTTTTGGAGATGTATTAAAGATAAACTGTGTACAAACCAGCGGCATAGTGAACGGGGTTTTATGTCATTTATACCACCGTATCGGGTCTAATACATTATGGTGAGGAATGACATTAAGCAAACATTAAAAAAAAAACATATAGCCGTATTAATGTATTATAATTATATCTTTTATGGTATAATACATTATATTAAGGGGTTGAGATACTGAAATATATATGCTGTGCATTATGGTTTATAAATTATAAGTCTTCACCACGTCACTGGTACGTATCACCATTACCACCAACCACAGAGGAAATAAACAATTAGCGGAGTCAGCTATTACAACGCGGATATATACATTATACGTCATGGAATTTATTTGAGTTCCGACAAGATATTGTGTTGTCGGCGTGAGTGCGTAACGAAGGGAATTCACATAGACCATTTGTCGTTCGATACTTATCATTAAATATTTAAATACATTATGAAATATTATCCTTATTTATTTAATTATCTATATCATATTATAATATTTAATCTAAACCTGAAAACTAAAAACCTATAATCGTTTTATATCGGATGATGAATCGTATTTCGAACAACCTTGCAGCGTATTTTGAAAATCGTGAGGACGGGACGTACACCTACTTACGCTCAAAGGGGTGTACCGCGGTTCGGCGTGGTAGTATAGCGGCGGTCCGCGGAGCACGATCGGCGGTGGATCACGTGCGAGTGTACGTCGGCGACGGCGGCGGCGGCAACCGACGGGGTTGACTCAGTGTTGCTCGGGAGGATAATGTTGCGGCGGTGTACACTACTACAACAACTACTACTACCACTACTACTACTACAAATACTACGACTAGACGGGACTCCGTGACGATCTCCATCGCGACCATGACGCTCGTCTTCGCCATCCTCGTCGCGTTCGTCTCCGTCGTCGACTGTCACACGTGTAAGTATAATAATATAGCATAACAAAATAGCTATATTATTAAAATATTTGTGTGTGTGTGTGTGTTTTATTAGAATTATATTTATAATAATATTTTCGTACATAGTGCACGATAATGTTTTTTATTTATTTATTTATTTATTAGAGTAAGTCTCACAAATTATTCGTTTTTATCGAACAATACAAATTATGTAACTGTCCTATAAGTTATAATAATAATATTTGATATGAAGATTGGAGACGTTATTTATGCGTGATAAACAAATCAAAACCCTATCTATATTACGCTCATACAAATTGATTTAATTCTCATTGCTTATAGTGGTTATTAAAAACTGTAAACGTGCCATATACGACGAACAGATTTTATTCATCAATTTCTTGTATTTTTATATATAATTCACCAATCAACTATATTATTACGATACGACATCAATTTTTTAATATATATTATTGGACGAAAATACAGGTTTATAGACTGTTGTAAAAAATGAATTATAATACTTGGGATATATTCAACTCATATATTTTGAGAAATTCCCTACGTTATAAATATATGTTTTCATTTAGTCAGAGATATGCTTTATGCATTAGTATATGGTATATCATGTATTCGGCTGAAGTTTTAATTTAATTATTTCACAAACTACCTATATAAATTAAATCAAAAATTGATAAAATGATTATCGATAAACTATGATTGAATTATTAATATAATACCGTGTTCCTTTATAACGTGCTCATATTTTGTATTTAAATTCCTTAAAATATTACTATCTGAAATAATTTATATGTATTTTCCACTGAATTATAGAATAATTATATTATCGTTTGAAATACACATTGAAATATATATTGTAAAAAGATTAATTACTAAGTATGAAATTAATTTTTAACTAATTTTGTATTTATAATAACTAAATGGCTAAATGTGTATGTTTTTTAAGAAATCAAGATTTTCAATTATACATACATAGTGTATACACAATTGAAATTTCATATTATTTAGAAAAAAAAACCTTATTATTATAATGTAACTGGATACGTCATATGTGAATTATACACAAAAGTATTAATTTAGAGATAAAAAACAATTCTCTTTTATTTTTAGAATCATATCGTCTTATTGTAAGATATTTTAATATAAAACGTTCAAATGGAATAGTCTTCAATTTTACATTTCAAAACATCGCGTATTTTAAAATAACATTTAATTGGATTATGTATGGTTATAAAATAAATATAAATACCTTTCTCCCAGATTGTTTAATATGATTAATTTTTTACGATTATCATTTGTTAAAAAAATATATGATTCCAATTTTTTACTTCTTAGTAGTTCTCATTTAAAATATTTATTATTACATTTTATTACGAACAATGAACAGATAATTTAAAATAATTTAGTGGAAATGTATAAAGTAAAAAATAAATCTACAATGTAAAAAAAGTTATTTTAAAATAAAAGGTTGAGGTATGAGTGCATAAGCGCCTTAAAAGGTATAGAAAATTTAGGAAAATTAAAATGTAAGAATACTATCTAGATATTGATTGCTGAACACTAATCTCATTTTACTGTGTTAAATTTATCATATAATATAATCTGATATCTAGTGCGAAGTAAATATATATTATTATTTTAGCTTTATAAATAATGTCAAACTATGGAAATTAATTAAAAAGGTTTAGTTTGAACGAGAAATGTTTGTGTACAAAATTGAAAGGACACGTATTAAAATTTTTCCTTTTGTTAGGCAACATTTAAATTCTTAAAAAATGTTATGGTAAATAATAATAATTATTATTATATTGTATTCTGTTTTAAAATATAATATGTCATTTACTGTTGTTAATTTTTTAAATACAGGGGTATCAATTGTAGGTATAGGTATATTGCTATTGAAAAGTGTAAGTACGAGCCGTAATTATGTAATATGTTTACTTTAACTATCATTTATTAGAGTTATCCATCGTGTTTTTTTAACATTTAATGTTGGGTTGCATATTTGTTTTTAAATTATAATTATAAGTACTTGAATTATTATTTACTACCAAGCATTTTATTGAAGAAAAAACTGACTTTTTTGCTTCCCTACTATAAATTATAATCCATTAGTATGAATTTCAAAATAAAGATAAATATACGTTTTATCTAGGTGGTTCTTAACAGTTTCACTTTGATCTATTTGATGTATTAATTGGAATTCAGTATTTATTAAATAATACAATTGTACTTGGAAAATATAGTAAATACCTATGTATCATTTGTTTGTTAATTGTACCTAAATGCGCGTAGAAAGCAGATTTGTTTTTTAAGCTTGTGAGATAGCTTTTTTTAGTGTACCCGAATTTGTTTTAAGGTTTTATATATATGTTCAGTAAACACGTACGAATCTGTTCCAAAAGTCATTTTTTTTTGCGTGAAAGTAATGTAAGGGTTTTGAAAATCGTGTGTGAATTTGACACTATCGTTTTAAATTGTTTGGACTAAAACCAACGGACGATTTACTGTTTATTTTATTGGTTTTGAAAAATAGACAGAGAAAAAGATATAGGGCACAATGCCAGTCCTAACCTAACACCTAACCTTAATAACTATAGGACACTAACGGTCCTTTTTAAACCTTTTTTTATTTACCTACCATCTTCCCGCTTGAATGTTGAAAATTTGATTTTTATCGACGAGGATAAAAGAACCACACAGATTTAATTTAATGGATAACGGCACAGACTTATTACATTATGTATCACAAACAGGTATATATAGATCATCAAACCATAGTACAACAAGTATAGACACAGTACGTAAAGGGCGAGGTTACAATATTTGTTTCGTATAATCATTCTTTTCTAAATCTAGCTAAAAAAAAGATTTTATGGAAAAATATTCTTAACACACCCTCAGATTTTCGTGTTGAAATATTGTTGTAATCTGTATTGATACAATTTTGAATGTCGTATATTATTATAAATTATAATATATTCATCATATTTGTTTCGCAATTTGTATTTAATGTTATTTTTTATTGTCTTGGTTTTATAATTATTTCTAAAACTTATTAATAACTATTACGATTATGAATTACACACGCCTTTATAGGTATACTAACGTGTTGTTTTACTCGTAAAGTGTTTAGATACAACATTATTGTAATAAACTATATATACACATACCACCATACTACATAATATAAGTGATGACAACCATCTGCAATAAACACGGAGCACAAGTGGATATTTTATTATACTCGGACTGTCCATGACATTTTTCTAAATACTTATTCAATAGTATAGTGGTCTTGTCGGGAAGTATTTGACTTTAATATTACCTGTAGTTTAATATTGTTGAAAAAAAATGGTGTGGTGGCATATATTTTTCTTATAATATACCATATTGAATTCGCGTAAAAGCTATAGTATTATTACTTTCATTCAACAACATTTTTTTTATCCAAAATAATCTAAGCAGTCTTCTATGATTTGTCAATAATCATTATTGAATTGTAAACATTATGATTGTTTAATTTTTATAGTAACATTTTAACATCTACATAATAGATTTGAATTTACTACGTAAAACGAGTGAAGAAATTGATCATTGTGATCGTTTGAGAAATTTCTCCCTACAGAGCGATATATCTCAATAGTAGAAACGTACCTACTTTATTTGCACGAGAGAAAAATCTTGTAGAATTAATTAAATTTAAAACTCTATTTTCTTCAAACATTATGTTATATATCATTTATATACATATCATTTTATTCTCTATATTTTAGTACACTATTCATTATAATTTATAATTATAATAGGATCGTTGTAGACGAATCTTGTATTATTATTCAATTAAAGTTATTCTTATTCTTTTAGTAGTTATGGTTTAAAAATATAATTAATTTAGGTTAAAAAGAATTCTTAATATCTTCTACCAAAAAACGTTAGGATTATTAGTATGAAGACACCTACACGCTTAACTAATTAGTTATTACGTAAATTAATTTGATAAAATCACTTTTAATTGAATGATGCATAAAATATAAAATAATCGATGTCATTAATTTGGCATTATATTAAAATGTTGTAATTAGGTTACCGATTTTAGGTATTTTTAATCAATGTGAAAATCGAACAAAACTAAGAAATTAGTAGTCATAATTTTTTTAATATAATCAGTTTTTGTTATATAAAAATAAATAGTTATTAAATTAATAAATATGTAAGTTTAAGAATTTGCCAGTCAATATAATTTAAAATGGTACGAAATGCGTTGTCTTTATATAATATTTATATTATAAATGCATAGGAAAAAAATACCATTATCTTATTATGTTGGTTAAATATATATAAATTATTTTTGTCAAATACTAATATTTAAAAGATAATAATTTCAATTCTTCTATCACATTATTATTTTTGTTGAAAAACTGTTGGTTATTTTCAAAACAGTATTTTTAATTGTTCAAACGGAAAACTAAAATCATATATAATATATTTTATCTAACTGTTCAAAAAGTCAGTATGTTGATAACATTATAAAAGACTCGTCAAAACGTATTCATTTTATGTCCCTGTTCATTCGGTTATCATATTATATTCCTCTTGTTCGTCTAACTAAGAGTATAAAGAACAATACATCGCAATTTATATATTTTTTTAGAACATGCTTGCTCATCAGTAAAAACATATCAAAATTTTTCTTTTTGGTTGTATAATTTGTATATTGTATTTGTAATCGGTCTCTTTGTGCTCACTGACGCTAGTGATTATTCACTGATTTGTATATTATATATACAATTATACGAGTAAAATACAATTATATCAAATGTAATAATGGTCAGATTTAGAGAAACTAATTAATTATAAATCGGAAAGGCTGAAATATAAATTTAACGGCACAATCCGTAAATTTAATACAATAATAATTTATAAAACACACACATTTAAGATTGAAACTGAAATTAAAATGTCATTAGATAGAAGTATAGAATCATAGAATGGCGTGACTTGGGTATTTTTGTCTTGGCTAAAGAACTAAATTTTAATTGTTGTAGTATGAAATATTAGAACAATGAAAACTATTCTTATAACTTATAAGTTTACCATTGTGTAAAATAGCTGTTAAGGATTTCTTTTATTGAAGTAATACGTAGACATGTTTGTTTTGTATTAATCGATTATACCATATTATATTTTTTTTTTACTATAATATTATATTCAATATAGACTTGCCATCGAATGAAATGGCCAAAAGATCGTACCAAAGCTATACACCATACAACGGCACAACGGTGCAATATTATCTGGACGACGTTGACGACATTGATGACGAAGACACGGACGAGGACGATGTGAAAGTTGATGATGATGATCGGGCCTACAAAAATCCAAGGAAGCTACCGTCATCTGAATGTCCCAGAAATGAAGAGCAAGCTGCATTCATGGTAATATTTATTTGATACAATGCTACAATTTACATATTTTGAAATATAGGTACCTCTATCAGTATTTATTGTATGGAAAATAAAGTAGGTTATATTTTGATGGCACTTAGCATGATTATATGACTACTAGTATCGGATATAATGATGCAAATAAAGTAAAAAAATATAGTTAACAATATTTTTATGAATTTTTAAATTTTCAAACTTTACATTTTAATACTTTAAACTGTAGTGAGGGTTTGAAATCGGTAAAAATAATTTTGATGTTTGATAAGTTATTGAAAACATTGGATACGAGACACATAAATATTTACTGTCAGAAAACAGACATTTAAAAATATTCATTCGGAATTTTATTTCTGATTGATGTAAGAAGCTCATAATATAAATTATAACCGATATTGTATACCTACTTCCTAAAAATATTCCGTGTAATATACTCGTATATATACGCGAAGAAAAAATAGGAAACGATGACGATTTGCTGTAACAGCCTATAATATTTTGAAATTGGTACATGAAGTTTACTAAATAAAACCAATTTTTTTTTTGTTAATTTTTTTCTTATATGTTTCGTGTAGTTTATTATAATAATAATAATATCTGATTATTATTATTAAGGTACTATCAATATGTCATCAATAAATTGGCATATTTTATTATTGTTTGAACTTTCAAAATAATTTAAACAATCGGTTAAGTAATCAGTTTATTTTAGTTTAGTTCAATGTTGAATCCCATAAAAAACAATTAGTTGCGTATATTTTGTTTAGATAATCTTTAGTCTTTACTTAATATGTATTTATTTATTTTGTATTCTTGGTACAACATCAATTATTAGGTTATTAGCTTACAACAAAATACATATTAGATACATATAAATAAATACAATGGTTTTCTTCGGTTGAGTTGTACATATCAATAAGTTTTAGAAATGTGGTGGTTTTGTTGGCGTTGTCTTCGATTGAGTTAAGGGCTTCAAAGAGGTTGCTTGACATTTGTAGGTTTTTTTTTATTACCTAATGTGTATTAGAATTGGTATAGCAAAAAATTTTGTTTATATCAAATTGAAATATTTTTTTACATTTAAATGCAGAAATGAATTTCTGTGCATTTGTTTTAAAACTTTATAAGTGTATCCCTCATTTTTGATAGTCGTAGAAACTTAATTTGTAAAAATGAAATGATGAATAAAAAAAAATAAAGCATTTTTTTAAAATTTAAATCATTTAAATTATCACAGTTAAGTACTCTCCTTTTACACTATTTTACAGTTTATTTTAATGATAAATCTTATCAAGAGGAATAAAAATTAATTTTGCTTATACCTACTAATAATTTTTTTATTTCAAAATATCAACATAAACTAAAATAAATGTTGATTTATGAGTTAAGCCCTTGAGTACATATTGTATAAACTTGATGGTCATAAAGAGATAAATAATTGAAGTATTTTTTCTAGAGTTAAAGGTATAAACTTATTTTATTCTATAGAAACACTATGTTGGACATTTATAATATAAATAATTATATTACTGTCATGAAAACAATTATTTTTGATGTTAGATAATTAACATTTTTTTTCATTAATTACTTGTAGGTAAAAATAAGTCTGTTTATGAATTCTGCTAACGTTCATGTATAATACTTACCAATAAATAGTTAAATCAATATATTTCTAAAATTATTGTTTATGAACTTATATACAAACAGATAAAAATTGTAGTGCTTATTAAATTGTTTATGATGGCTTTGTTTTTGTTAAATGCATTATAAAACAAAGAATACACAAATAACAACATTATATAGGTACATTAATATTATTTCTTGATATTGTTATTATTTTAAAATAAAATTTGCAATTCAAAATTAAATCATAAATATATAAACCAATTTCCTGATCAGAATTTTAAATTTTCATTTTATATTAGTATTTTAAGTATTTTAGATTTCACAAAGGGTTTCTATTATAGATTTATATTTTATGAATTTCATTACAAAAATGATGTTTGATATAAATTAACTTTATTATTCATTTTATAGAAGGTATTGAAACCCTACATAAGAAACCAGACAATAATAATTATGAACATTTCGGTTAATTTTATTTCACATTTTTTTTTCGTATTGGCACTGTGACATTTTTACAAAGCTTGGTCTCTCAAATTATTTTACCTACCTAGTATTGTCGACTTGCTGTACCTATAATAGAAAATAATCAGCTATTCACAAACTATAAGCAACATTTGAAATAGTTTTTATTATACTTTTACAATTAAATCTAAAATTAAACATTTATAAAAAACTAGTGCCTAACCTAGAAACTTAAAAATGAGGACAATTATATTTTAATATTTTAAATACCAAGTCTGATCTAGTGGTATTTATTATGTTGGTAGGTACATTTGTTTTATTGAAGTATTTACTGTTTTTTAAACATTTATACTGTACTCAAAATGTTTTTATTTATTAGACATCTAAGTATATATTTATCAGTATAATTCTGGGCCACATAAAAAACCCCTAAATATTTAATGAATCAATATTTGAGTTAATTATCCTTTAAACATGATTTAGTGGTGCATGGTTGTTTCATTAAATTCTACTGAATCATTAAATTTATTAATTTCTTATGCAACTTGCCACTTGGTTATTATCTAGGAAAGTTTAGTTGAAATCCATTTACTTTCTTCAATAGATAAATCTATTTATTCGAATATAATTTTTTTCTGAAATAAAATTTATGTTTTTTTCTGCAGGGACAATCATGTTTACGAAAATGTTCCTCTGACGAAGATTGTAAAAGCAAGAAGAAGCATTGTCTTTGTGATGGACTTTGTGGAATGTCATGTGTAAAACCAGGTAAAATTTGAACTATTATATTATCAAATAATTAACTGCTTTTTACCGTATCAGCTTTTAACTTTTAGTTAAATTTAGTTAAATTTAATATACTACTATACATACATAAAACTTAAAGAGTGAGAGAACTAATCGACATTGAAAAATATAAAATGCATATTATTTACACTAAGTATATCTACACCTATCATTAATTCTTGAAAAAAAAATATAAGAACATCGAACCTCACTTTTGGAATATAACAAATCGATATTGTTAATAATTGCTTTATTACAGTGTTAATAAACATATTGATGTCGAATATATTTTAGTTCGAACCAATTAAGTCCATTTTAAGTACCTATATATGAACATTGTATAGTGTTACATTAATTACCATCAAATAATTTTGGTTCTATTGAGACGTAACAAAGTATTACCAAGTTTGAGATGTTCAGAGAGTATTTGTGGTATTATATGTATATAGTAGGTATAAACTTACTAAAGATCATAATATACACCCTTTATTGTACGGTATACTATATTTGAATCAACTGATCCGGGTTACTGAACCAACTAGACATTTTAAAATATAGCTTTATCCTACAATTTAAACTAAAAGTTATACTAAAATGTTACTTAATTTAAATGATAAGAATTAAACAATATACTGTACAAATTAATAGCAACTTAATTTTATAATTATATTTTAGGTTTTATGTGACACTATTTATCATTAACGGTTATTTAACATTAAAATGTAAGATTTCATTGAAAATTAGGTCTTATTAAAACTGGATCTAAATGTTAATACAGCTGTAATAGTGTACTACACAGACTATTAAATTGAATATTCTAATACGAATTTGAATAATTATTATGAAAATTACGTGTGTAATGTACTTATAATATAATGCATCACTTACAATAATAATTATTGTCTTTATATAATACACTTATTAAGCTAATTGTCATAAGAATATACAGTTTAATAATACAGACAATACAGTTTTTCCATTGATTAAATTTTTTAGACTGAATTAAATTAATTAAAAATAAATTCTAGAGGGACCTTCAATTGTCTTTTTCCATAAAAAGGATAGTCTTTAATTCATTCCCCTTGAAAAGGTAGCCATTTGCTTTTTGTTTTCTCAAACTAAACTCTAAGGAGAGGGTTTTCTGGCGAAAACTATAGTCCATTATACATCAAAGTAGATAATATAATTTTGTCTCATCGTGTAGTTTTTGCAATGTGGTAAGAAATGGGTATTTTGTGTAGCACAATGGACTTAAAACGAAGGGAAAGTTGGTGTGAAAAGTTTCAGTCGTCAAAAAACAGAAAACAGGCTATAAAAGGTTTGTGTGGATTTGTGAATTTCGAGCTAGATTTATAAAAATGAAAAAAAAACAGACAAAAATTTTGCCCCAGGGAAACTTTTGCCTTAAGGTTTTTATTACTCTGGCGTAACTGTACTCAGTACTCACATAGACTTTATGTTCATCTTGGTCTTCTGATCCTTTAGGGCAAATTGCAATGGTCGTTTCCGTTATAAAATTTCTTTCTCCTGAATTCTCTATTTTACAAAAACAAATTCTTTTCATGGTCGGTATTGGTACTATAACCAAAGTTCGAGCTCCAGACTCGATCGCATTAGACGATTTTGTTGAGTAATATGATAATTTGAATAAATGATTTAAAAGTATTGTTGTGCGATGTTAATCACTGTAAAAACTTGATTAGTAAAAAAAAGAGTCGATTTATTTTGTAAAAGTTTCAAAAATAAGCTGAGAAGAATAGTTTTTTTAAACTAACAACTACAATTAAGGGTAGGCATCTAATAACTTTATTTACACAAATAAAAACCAAGTCCACGAATTGATCTAAATATTTGATTTGTAATTCAATTATAATTGAGTTAAATAATATTAAGAAGTGTGGTTAAGTCATTATTGTTTTGTTTTCAATGCAAGCGTATTATGAATTGGATATGCTCAAAATGTTTTTTTCTAAATGACTAAGTTTAATTTTTGTTTAAATTTGATTGAATAAACAGTTATTTATAATAATAGTAATAATATTTATTGTAACCAAAACATATATTTATCAAACATGTTATTTTATAATTTATATATTATAAGGTTACTAAGCCTCCTAAGCTAATGCTTGTTGTGTTGCTAGAGTTCAATTAATTTAGTTAATTTTTAGGAAGCAGGTTTGCTGTATAAAAATTATAATAATTATAATCAGTTACCTAATAACAAATTATATTTTATTAAATTAATAACGAATAAATTATTATTTATTTAACACTTTTGAATATATTTTTATTGGTATTTAGATACGATAACATTGATCATTCATTAGTTTTACTTTCGCTTATTTTAATTACTACATTTGAATATTTTAACAAAATTAGCCATTCAAAAGTACACCCTGCGATTTTAAATTAATGCTTTATTAACTATGTTTTTGATTCAGATAAATTAAAATTTTAGACAATCTATCCTAACAAATTAAAAACAATGAAATTTAACGACCGAAAAGAGAAATATTCAGCATTGTTTTTGTATAAACTATAGTAATAAATTATTTCGATGGCGTTATCATAACAGGTCCCAGACACGTCCTCTAAAGAGGTTTTTGAGTTTCGACATATTAAGCCGATTGCTGCATATTTCGGCAGACACACGTTGTAACATCTGTTGACAGGATAACGTCCGTCAAATTATAATAATTATTGTGGTATCGCAACACCGTGATGTTTACTTTTATTACATATTCACATTCGACAGTCCTAACATATTTATCTTTCGTCAAACAAATATTTTCGAATTATGTTAAAAAATTATGGGATTCAGATTAATTAAAACATTTAAACAAATAACTGGCATTGTATTGCTTGTACATCATTACATTTTTAATTTAAGAATTAATGCAATTTTTTTTTATTATTTTAAATTACATATTATCTTTTAGACTATAACAAAAAATACTATAATAAAATTATACTTATAAATTAATAGTACAAAATAGAGTAAAAGACAGAAGAAATGTATATAAAAAATAAAAATAAGAAGAAGTGTTACAAAGTATAAAAATACGTATCACGACAGTAGGAAACATTGAAAAACCTTGTGGATAAAAAAATATGTATAAAATAGTCTATCCTAAGTTTTGGTCATGGAACTAAAACTTTTGTGCAACGATTTCTTAAATAGAAATCGATAAACTTAATATTTATAGCGTTGACGAAAATATAAATTCTTACTGCTTCCAAAATTGATGACAGTCGCACACTCCAAAAAAACCCACCTTTGTTAAATGAATACATTTATCTATCTGTTTAGAATCTAAAACGTGACATTACTATTACATTTACTTTACTTCATCTTATAATATTCAATAAGTCTAAGGAACACGTCACACAAATATAGGATATTTTTTACTTTAATAAGATATTATTTATATTTTTTATACAATTTTCTCTGCCATTTGAGCTGTGCAATTTTCAAACCTTTATTGGAGTCATCTATACTTCGAGTGTATTTACGCATTAAATATATTATGATTGTAAGAATATTTATTATTTGTTATTTTGAATAGCTCACTTCACCTTAATATTTGAATAACTTTAAGGAACACACCTCACCATAATAGGATAATTTTTTTATTTTAATAGGGTATTACTTACATTTTATATTTTTACTTTGCCATTTGAGCTGCGTAATTTATAAATCTTTATTGGAGTCATATACACTCCGTAACTCGTAAGCCAGCTTACGCATTAAATGTATGGCTAGTAAATAGTCAGTATATTTAAGATGTCGCTGTCATTTTGAATGCCGGAAAGTTTTGAAAACCAAACTATTGAATTTCGACCAAACTCTTACATATTTAAGTTCCCAAATGGTGATGTGTATACTGTATATACTGTCGAAGCTTCAAGGAATTATTTTATAAAGACATAATGTTATAACTAATTAAATAAGCTTTTTCTCGTAGTGTTATCCTAAAATTATTCATTATTTAGTGGCTCCTATTATATATAAATACATCTTTTTGTAACGTCATCTCTCGTGCTGAGGTCTTGTGAATTCTATTAAGTATGTAATATATATTATAGTTGAGTAGTCATAAAACCAAAAAATAAACATTTTAAGATTAAGGTGTAGGTATAGCAAATTACAATGGTATATCTAGGTAATGGTTATATAATGGTTCACAAGAGGTATTTTTTTATTGTTTTTGTCGAAAAAAAATATTTGAAACACCAAAAAATCACAAACAATAATGCATTATTTACATATATAAATATTTTTTTTTATTAAAAATATATTCTATTTGTTTATACCATTCATTAAAAAAACCTCAGATTTATATTTCTTGTAAAATTTGTTTATTTACCTAGATTATACTGTATTTTATACGACTATGAATTATCAATTTTTAAAGTATTTTTAAATATTTTTTAAAACAATCTCAGTTATCAAAAAAAAAAATATTGCAAATAACTATTATTTGTTATTTTTATAATTAAAATACCTTTTTAATTTATATAGGTAAGGCAGGTACCAGAACAAAATAGGTTAAAAAAATAAAACTAATAATACTATTTTTATTTTTTTGCATAGGTATAAACACAACTGATAAATTAGTAAGTAGTAACTGTCAACTGGTTAGTTTGAAATTTCAGCAGGTTACAATCATAAATATTTTTGTTTATTAATTCATCCGTAGTAATTTCAATACGTCTTATATTACATTTATTACAACCCGTATTCATTTCAGACACTGTCAGCCCCATTACTATTGAATTATCAAAAGAGATGGTTTTAAAATATTCATAAAATAATACTGTAGCCGTTGTAATTAAAAAGCTCTTGTTTTCAATGTTTCTGCAGTCATTTTGTCTGATGCGATTGCGAAATAATTGTAATCAATCTGACTTTTTAGTAAAATTGTATTTTTTTCCCTGTTTAATGAACTGCAGTATTTGTGGAATGATAGTATCCAAATAGG